AGGTGAATGAGGATTTTGAATTGATTAAGTTTTACGTAGTAAGCAATCCAACATCAGCCAAAATATTTTTTTTTCAAAATGCAAAAGTGGGGATGTGAAAAAAATCTTTATTTATAATAGAGTCTGATAAATTGAAATATTATCCAGTGTTGCCGTTTTCATACATTATGATCAGAAAAATGTTAATTGTCTGTGAAAACGAACCAATTATAGGTGATTTATTAAATAATCATTTATTATATACTATATTTGACTGTATAAAGGAATTATTAAAATGATATTAATACAATTTTATTAGAATTATGTAACATGTCATGCTAAGAATCGACATTTACATACCTTGATATAAAAACCACAATAGAGTCTCAAACATCTGCTTCATATTTGCTTTACTAGCAAAATGCAATAAAAGCAAACTATAACCTAAACATTGTTATTAAAAAGATGACTTCAATTTTTCTATCATCACCTCCCCCTTGTGTAAAACTAATATGCATATGGATAAAATGTGTGCAAGTTGATTCAATACGTAAGACTTTTAAAATAATCAATATAAAAGAGGCAGACATATAACAAAAAGGTTAATGATACAAAGATATCAACGATCTCGTTTAAAATTCACTATTTCCAAAATTCTATGGTCGATACAATGATCATATGTGCATATAAAAACAATCAAAAAGTCTTATGTTCAGTGATGTCTTTAAAACAAATTGTTAGGCATTTATTTTCATACTGAGGTTATAGATTTTATCAATTACCCAATCATCACAAAAGCAAACAGTGAGTGCGACCTGTCAAAAGGGGTGCTTACTCCTCAATGGCATCTAATTCCGCTTTTCATGTTTTCTTTGTTCTGCTCATAATTTGTATTGTTTAAGTGGTTTGATTATTTTTTGTTTATTTCATATTTCACAATGGCTATGTATTATTCATATGAAACATTATCTCAATGAAGATTTTAAAAGGTTTTATTTTTTGCTGTTTAGTGATTCCAATGACATCACTTAAAAAATGTTAAAGAATTAACTAATTTGATGTTTTCTATACCTTTATATTTTAAGTTATATAGAAGAATTGTGAATGTATATGTTTTCAATATGCTTGCCAGCTGGGAAAAAGCCATTTAAAGACTTTTAAAAGCGCTTTTTTAGTAATTTTATTTTTATATTATTTTCAATGGCAAAAGGAGAAACACAAATTATAGCGAACAAACAGCAGATTGAAAGCACAAAGAAATAAAATAATGAGTTCATAAAGACACCAAAGAGGAGTTATTACAAATTGGCGCAAAATTTCCCTAAATTATTCATGTTATCAAAATTATAAGTTTAAAACCAATATATTTTAAATGTAAAACTCAGCGATTTCTTCCTGATTTAAGGTTGGCAAGGTCATTGTTAACACTTCGGTTATAGTTCATTGAATAATATATACATATTTTAATATAAATTTTATATTGTTTGGGGATTATTATTCCAGTAAGATGAACCCTGATTATGTGAGATGTTACTATAAAGGATGAACGTGTGTTTGACAATGCAAATTATTTCCATAAATGAACTACTTAACTTACTTTTCCTAGTTGCATACATCAATCACGTTAAAACACTTAGTATTTGATAAACATGTAAAGCGTTTACATAAGATATCGTGTGACTAATTCAAATCCATGTAAAAAGTGAGAGAGAGAGATTTTAAACAGTGGAGGTAGATTGACATTTTTAAAGGGAAAAAATAAAGAGTGAAGAAAACTGGAATCCACAGCGTTACTTAGTTCAGATGGTATGTGAAATAAAGAAATAAATAAAATGTTTTATGCTCACTCTTCCATGGCACCTGATCCAACCTCTGGTGATATGGAGGTCTGTGGTTTCTCTGATCCAATTTTGTATTGTCTAATGGACTTTTGAGCTTGAATACTGTTCGTTATCTCCATATATTTCATGTAAAAATAGAGAAATAATTAAAATAATGCATCATTTTTTGAAATTTCAATTGCAAATACATGTAGTATTTTAAAAATATTACGACAATTTATTTCCATATATTTAAAAATATGATCGTGCTCGAAGCATGATCTTGAGTATCGAAGGGTTGAGGGATTTAGATACTGTATACAGGTGATACCGGGATATAACTGCATCAATACGGAAAGCTGACGATGGAAAAATTGAAATCATGTCGTTTGTCATGCAATTTCGTTTTGAGTCGACCCTCGTGTAAAACATCCAAATATAAATCCGATATTTACACTCATGTCCACATACTCTGAGGCAATTAATTGTTCCCTGTGAGTGGCCATTGATCCCCCCGCCTCCCTCCAACAATTTACCTTCAAAATAACAGTTACCTGTCACCGTAAATGTAAATAATTTTAAATAAAACTATTTATAATTGTTTGAGCCTTAATTGTTTTGGACATTGTAGAAGCTTAATAGTAAGTTTTACAAAAGATAAATTCAAGGCGCTGACTCTGGTTTTATTGTTATAAAAACTCTTTAAAATTATATTTAAGTAATAATGTATAGTCTACTCTAACTTCAGAGTATACGTAAAGTTTGAGGGAAGTCAATCGATTAGATGTCTAAGAAACTATTTCAAAGCACAGTGCATTTACGTATTTTTGAAACTCTTAAAAGTTTGACTTAATTTTTTCTTTAACTATACTTTTGACAGATTTTAAAGCTATTCTTATAGTGTTGAAAGTTTGTGCATGTGGATGCTATTTATTTTGGTATAAAATTTCTATTTCAACTCCTCTTAAAGTTTCTAAACTTTGTAAAAATTCACAAATTGATGCCAATTCTCAAAAAATATAGTTATATAGCGGCGTGTATAATACTTTCTCTACTGTTGATATTTTCATGAGTAAAGAAAGGGGCTTGTTCAAACCACAGGGGCCTGTAACATACTGTATTTAATTTTACGTAATCACTATATGTATACAAATCCTTTTTTGTATATATATAGTGATTACGTAAAATCGAAAACAGTATCTCTCTTTTACCTGCTATATTTCTCTCTCTAAGAGGATATGAATGACTTGCCGAGCTGACCACATGACCTTACACCTTCTATTACAATTAATCCATCAGGCAAGGCGTGGATCTGAGAATTTTCACAATTAACTAACCTAAATTTTTCTGGAAAAATCCAAACAAATTATCGCATTAAATATATAAATACAATTATTATTGTAATAATTGTTGTTTTAACACTTAAAAAAAGCAATAAGATTAATTTTGCTGTTAAACTTGATTAAGTTTTTGTTATCGTATTATGTAATATGAAGTAGTATAATGCATACTCTAAAATATGTCCATTTTATTTATTTTACATATCTCTCTTTGAAATATTTTTAGTTTTGAATAAAATGGGGGTTGCTTTTTCGTGAGGAGGAAGGGAAAGAGAAGTCGAGAAGTGCTTTGAGATATAGGATAATCAAAAATTATGTTGTAGATATCTGCACTTTGTAAATTGCATACATTTTTACATTTCCTATTTCAAACAAGCTCTGTTTCACTCTCTCAAAATTTTGACTTTTTATTTAGAATTCAAGACAAAAAAAAAACATTTAAAAACAAGATAGAATAGTCAATACAATCACCTGCTAACGCTTATTTTACTGAGGAAATAAATTATTTTGAACATTAAAATGTATAAAACACTGAAACATGTGAAAAGTGTGAATATGATGAGTAAATTACAACTTTCTCCAGAATTCTTTTTATATCCCACGACTTTAAGTTTAAGGTGAAAATGTGTTCATGCTGCGGATCGAGATTTGCAAGATTTATCTTACGAACCTAAAATAGTTATGTACATCATCTCAGAATATTGCTAATTTGAATTCCCATTTGAAAAATGAGCATGGGAACATTTAATTACTCTGAAATTAACTTGGTGAACTTAAATTAAAATAGATTGACACTTGGAATGTTAATATAAGTTAAGTTCATTTAGGTTGTCTTACCAAAACAAATTCTTTCATCACCATTTTCAGAAAAAGTCCTAAATTTTATATAAGTATGCAATAAGAATAAACAATTCTTTAATATATTCATGTACATTGTATAAGTGTGAATGAAAATTCTAAACGTTTTATAACTTAAATCCATTTATCATTTACTTAGTTAACATTCATTAAGGAGTTATCTTTCCTGCCAGGTGAACATTTTACATCTAGTATTTCAGAGCACAGCATAATCCTATAAATACTCTCACCGAATTTTCAGTCTGACATTGTATATATAGTATGCAAAATAAAACAAGATAGATGCAAATATAATATAATCATGACCACTCTCCTTCCTTGACTATAATTACCCTGGAAATATATACACATTGATGTTTATTTCATCAAAATTAAACTATTCTGACTTGATGTCTATAATGAAACATATTCTTGTGTGGTTTTCATATTTAGGAACCTATCATCATCTCAGTTATTTATTTTTTACTTCAAATTTATGTTAATCATTATCAAAAATGAATTTTATAAATGCATATTTACAAATTAATTGTACCACAAATGTCATCTTCGTTTTTCATATATAGCTAGCTGGCCGACCGACATGAATTAGTTACATAGCATTTGTCTACCTGAGTGAAACGTGTTGAACATTGCTGTTTACATGAAACCTGGGATCAGGAAGTGTTAGCTGCAATCTGATTGGCTGAAAATTACCCAATTCGTTACCTTTTTCCGGGTTCTCGTAGCCGCGTTTAATTCATTGTTAAAACTTTGACTTCGTCGTGAGGTCGACTTAAATATTATCAATGAAACTTCTCAGTGTCGGCCAACAGGGATTATCGATTTCCATGTAGATTAGGAAGCATTCAATTTTAGCCTGGGCGGAAATTAAAGGAAGTTCTTTTAAACTCCTGCAAGTGTTAGGGGAAAAAACCTTAACATTAAACGATTGAGTAACATTACCTATTCCTACCAGAGAGAGATATCAATATCTAACCAAAAAAAAAAAAATATAGAGAAGATAATACATATGAAAACAAAATACACACATACAAAAATAGTGTTGTTGATCTAATTTAGTCCGAGTTCTATTTTCAAAAACAGCGTCTTGCGACAATAGAGAATCTTGTGGTGAGTGAACGTAAACAATTAATTGCAAGATTTTTTTTCAAATTTAAGTACGTTTGTTCTTGTACCTATTACGTCAAGTGAGAAAATTTATTGTAGGAATGAAGGGAACTCTCGCGTGAGGAAGGAAGTCCTAGCAGGAAATATACATGTCGTTAAAGGTTAGTTTATTATTATACAAATATTAAGTTGTCAAATTTTACTTTAAGAGAATGATAACTTCAAGAAGAAAAATGTTAATTTTACTTCTGATTTGCAAGATATAAACGTGGGTGTTTATTTGTCAGCTTCTGAAACAAAACATTTTCAATCAATTTAGCCAACAGGTGAAATTCATAACTTATTTTTAAAAAGTAGCTTTAAGTAATGCGATAAATAAATATAAAGTTAAAAAGGTTGAGTGAATGGATTTAAAGTTTCATTTTTTCAAAAATACTAGCATTTATAACTTCAATGTATAAATGCACTTTTTATCTTACTTCTCATAGGAAGATTTTATAGCCAGTGATTATTTTATGATTAAATCCGGGATGAACTAATGGATAATATGTTTAAAACAAATTTATCCTTTCACTTAATTTTATTAAGATGTAAAGGAAAAAAAAATAGATCTGTGTACAGGTTTATGAAAAATATCATCGGCATTTATACAGCGTATATTGTACCAAATATACGGATTCATTTGCAGTGACTTTCAATTATTGAAAATAACAAATCAATGTTTTCCCTTGTGAATAGAACAGTTTATGTAATTTTAATTCTATTTCACCCTCCTTCGTTCTTATATGTTATTTTTTCTGTCTAATAAAACTGCATACATCTCGCAATAGCAACAGTTATGTACTGCCCTAAGAAATGGAAATAGGTATATGAACACAGGAAGTACGATTAGCCTAATGGTGACATACGGATGTATTTTGTCATCTGTAAAATTGATCATGAACGATACCTTTGTTATCTCTATAACTGAGATAAAAATGCATCTAGGTCAAATGAAATTCAGTAGGGTAATAGTAAAATTTCTGCTATTTTCGATTTGATATAGAATGAAAATTTTCATTTCAAATGATACTTATTTTAATATTTTTTTTTATAAATTTCTAAAATTCTTTCAACAAATTATAGTAACATCCATTTTTGAATCGTAGTTCAACGTGTAGACAATAGCATCTTTGTAGGCTGGATGACAGGATATTGCTGCTAAAACATAATTGATTGCTTTAAAATTGAATATAATTTCTAAAACTCTTAATCAGATGCCGAACTTCAGTTGGTTAACACCAGTTATATTTGGTGTCACAAACTTCTTAACTCTGCCTTACCCTTTGACGGATCTGTGGTATCATCCTTAACATATTAACTATGACTCACATCCCGTTGTTGAAAGGCAGTGGACATTGACTTAACATTTTTTCTGACATTAATTAAATTCTGAAATAAATAATTATGTTTGTTAAATTTCGACTACGGGAAGAAAAAACACGGATGTTTGTAACGATGTCATTTTTTATTATGGAGGAAGAAACAATACCTAAGTTAACACAGAAAATGAAATTAAGTAGATGAATTTTAAAGCACGCAAAACTTTAACAAATAAACGTGATGACTAACATTTCTATCATCATCTTTCCTTACTTATGTAGCAACATCACCTGCATATGGGGTGTATGTGTCTCTAGTGATTCGATACTCAAGAGCATGCTCTACCTTCTACATTTAACGATTTCTAAAACAAGACAAGCACTATTAAAAATAAATTGATAAAACAAGAATATCAATTGTCTCGATTTTAATCATCATTAATATTTCGCAAGCTATATGGTTGATCCGATATATGGTTGAAATGGTTGATATATGGTCGTACAACGACCTTGTCAGCAGCTAAGACAATACATCATAAAGTCGTACGCTGATTGACGTTTTTGATACTATTTGAGAGACCATTTGTTTAAAACTGAATGGTCTACGGATTTTTAGTTTTTTCCCGATCATGACAAGAAGCACACAGTGGGCTTGATTGGTAGACAGGGGATGTGTAATCATCAATGGCACTTGATCCCACCTCTGATGTTTTAGAGGCTTTATTGCTCTTCTCCTTATTTGTTTTGTTTTGATGGACGTTTGGGCTAGATTACTGTTCGCTATCTCTATATCCATAGATAGTACCATCCAAGAGTATGACTAAGACAAAAATAGTCAAAAAATACTAAGAAAATAACTTCAAGGATTTTTTTAAAATTTTCCCCATAATTAAAAAGGGGGAGAAGCAATATGTCCTTAATTCAATGTCAAGTATTGGTAAGTGCTAAATAAACTTTTCTTCATAGAAGATAACGTTTTCTCTGTTTAAAATTCTTTCCTCTTTCTAAAAGTCTTTGCATCTTATCTTTTAACTGATATACCACTATAATTTGATTCTATGTGCAATTTCCAAAGGACAATGCTCAAATGCTATACTTCAGAAAAAGGTCATTAAGTCAATTGATTTCCTTTTGTTAAATGTCATTACCCAGACATAAATGCTCTATGATCATGGATACTCTGAATACTGCTCAAAAAGATTTCATTGTTATTTTACATTTTAAAAGTATTTTGCTCTTTAATGTGAGATGGAATGAATAAAAATCTACAGTAAATGACCCAATGAAAAATTTTGATTGTTTGATTGATTATAGGTTTTTTCTTACGTCCCGTTCGACATATAGAGATGTTACCATATACCAGTTAAGGGCTTCAAATTTAAACCTTTACTAGGCACTCCGGGCCACTGAGCAGTGAGGATCTTTTCCCATGTATTTTCCCACTCAAAGTAAAAACAAGTTACGTAATTTATGAAAATCAATACTTCATATTGTCTAAGAAATTTTTCCAGGAAAAAATTAGCAAGTTCCACATGTTAAAATTGAACTAGATAGGTCTCATATGTACACCTGTATATGAAACATTTTTTTTCAAATTCAATATATAAAAACTATATTTTTTTCAGAGTTGCCTTAAGTTTATACAGGTTGCAAGCGCGGGCTCCTTTTTTGCATTGATATCAAAGTAAAGATTGCATTTTTGTCGGGGAAAAACTTGCATATTTTGAGAAACTTACTGTATCGTCATAGCTTCTCGTCAGAAAAAGATGCATGGAAAAAATATAAACATCTAACGCTGTTGTAGTTTACTTCTCAGGTATTTAAAAATTGGTTATTTCAGGCAAGCAAACATCCTTGCTAGCTTTTTATTTTAATGAGATCATGGGTTAATCTTGAAATGAATATGTGCAAAAAATATGATTGATATACATCAGGTTTTTTGCATATGCGCTGTTGCAGGGCTAGTTTACTTCTCAAGTATTTAAAAATTGGTTATTTCTCATACACAATTTTTGGCAAGAAAATAAGGTTAATCTTAATTTACAAATACATGTAATACTTAGAATATTTTCAAATTACGCTTTGAAATAGAAATATCTTTAATGAGACATTAGACTATGTACATGTATGTAAAAAAATGATTATTTACTTATTTTCTTCTCAACTGTATTTTATTACTAAGTATGTAATAAATATAATAAAACATGATATACGATTATATACAACTGTATACGTATACAGCTGTAATTTCATTCTATAAGCTATTTCCAAAGAACACGACTAAAAAGGTTACCTCTGAAAATGGCCATTAAATCAACTGATTTTGTTTTCCAAAATGTCATTTTAGAGACTTACACTAGTTGTTTGGAAGCTTTCAAAACTGCTCAAAAAACATTTCATTTCAATTTATAATAATACTTTAATGCAAGATGGATGCATTGCCAATTAACAATGATTATTTCCATTTTTATGTCGATACGATATATCCTGGTGAGCTTGAGGAAAAAAGATTCACAGAGTCTGACACATTTGCTTCGTATTTGGATATTTAACTTGAAAAAGACATGGTAATCTAACAACCAAGCTCAATGATACACGTGATGACTTTAACTTTTCTATCGTCAATTCCCCTTACTTATGCAGCAATATACATTCATCACCTGCATACGGAGTTTATCTCTCTCAGTTGATTCGATACGCAAGAGCATGCTCTACGTATGTACAATTTCTTAAACGAGATAAATTATTGACAAACAAGTTGATGAAACAAGAATTTCAGCAGTCTCGTTTAAAGTTATCATTTCGTAAGTTCTATGGTCGATAGAATGACCTTGTCAGCAAATACAATTTATCACTGAGTCAAATGCTGATTGACGTTTTTCATACTAATTGTTAGTCCATTATTTATACACTGAATTGACGACGGATTTTTTCCGTTATTTCCCGATCATGACAAGGAGCACACGGCGGGTGTGAGCGGTCAGCAAGGGATACTCACTCCCATGGCACCTTATCACACCTCCGATGTTCTGGAATTCCGTGTTTGTTCTGCTCCTTTTTTATATTGTTTTATGGACTTTTGATCTTGAACACTGTTCGTTATCTCCATATGTTTCATGGAATAAAAGAAAATCTATAGTAAATGACACAACTCAAAATAAATTTAAAAAATTCTACTCTATAAATATTAAACAAGGATTAAGTGGTAGAATATATTTTTAATGCATTTTGAAACCTAATTAAACAATATGATTAATGTCGTTTAATACTTCATCGTTTAAGAACAATATTTCTTTAAAAATTGGCAGATACCATTTATTGATGACGAATTTGATGTATCCAATTTTGGACCTGTATATAGAACAATTTTTAAAGTGGCAAAAGTCAAAAGTTGTCAGTGTTTCCTTAAGTTTATACAGGTTGCAGGTGCAACCTCCACGTTTGCAAAGAAAAAAAAATATATTCATGTATTGGTAAATCAAATTAAATAAAAAAGTATTTCGTCCCCCCCCCCCAAAAAAAATATCAAAAATACTGTATATGCACAAATTTTCGTCGGGATAAAATTTCCTTAATTTTTCACCTCAAATATATTTCGTGGGCATTTAATTTAGTTGCTTTGGAAGTAACCCTATTTAATATATAGTCAATCAAAATTTCGTGTGGGATTTAATTTCGTTGATAGTTGTTAACAACAAAATAAACAAAATTTAATCCCCGCGAGTATTTGTGCTTTTACAGTATCTTTTAAATGTTTCAGTATAGCTTTTTCTTCGAAAAAAAAATAAATTTGAATAATAGATAGGATTATTTTTAGCTGTGAAAATTTACTTTAAAGTATTTAAGAAATTGGTTAGTTAGAGTAAACATCCTTAAACTATTTTTGCTAGCTTTTCGGCTTAATGAGATCACGGGTTCGCCTTGCAATTAATAGATGTGCACGACTATCTCGTGCTCATTCGGGAGAAATACTCCTCGTGGAAAAAAAGAACAAAACAGAAAAAAGAAGTTTTTTTTATAGCATTAAAGTAGATTTCAGACACATAATAAGTTAATGTGAAAAGAGATTTTGAAGATAAAGAAAATAACCTGATATTTTTACGTCAACATCCTATTAAGGCATTTTATGAATATCCTATATTTTTAAAACGTTTAAATATCTAAACATGTACATGCTTATTTCTCATTGCTCTAAATAGTTCAATGAAAGATTTAAGAATGGTTATCTGGCAATCTAAACTCATTTCTCTAAATGTAAAGAAACTTAAAAGGTGCTAAAAGTAAACATTTTAAGACTTTAATTGGACATTTCTTTTGTAAAACAAAAAAGGTATTGAGTTTAATTGTTGAATATTTCATGTAACTAATGTTTATTTCCAACAAATACTCCTTAAGAAAAAAACTTATGCTAAATAAAGAATATAGATTAATTAGGTATTTTAAACAGTCGCTTGATAAATGCTTTAAAATAATTCTGTGGAAAGATAAAAATTGCATGACCCTATTAAGTCTATTTTTGAATTTTGACAGTAAAGAGTATATTTTTTTAATGATTAAATCATCCTCGTTTTGAAAATACTGAAAAACACTGAATGACATGTCCGTCAAATTCTGCGATTTTAAAATATTTTAAATGGTTGCATGCTTCAGCGATTAAATTTGTTATCGCGATCCGGAAGACATGATATAGACATCCATGTTTATGTTTGTATATAGAGGAAGTTATTTTCTTGTCAGGTAATGTCTTCTTTCGTTTTAAGATTTATGAATGTAAACGATCTTTTTATGTCTTTTTATGTTTTTTTTATGAATTTATTTTCTTCTACACCTTTTCTTTATTTTCTTTTTAGAATTTCATTTAAACAATTAAGGCTCAATAACAATTATTTTGACAATATGTCTGCACTGACCCGGTCAAATAATTGTAATTTTTTTCTCACTAAACACCATTGCACTTTTGAGTTTTAGTAATTTTGCAGAGTAAATGAAGTACTCTTTTTACCATTTCAAATTCGGAATGCAAGCCATATTTTAAAAAAAAATCTTGGAAGGAAGATATTCTTCATTTTTTTTAAAGTTAAAAGGAATTCGGTGTAGCGCAAGGTAGACCATTTGATAACAAAATTCTTTGCACAACTTACTTAGTATAATGCTATCTCACAAAACAACAAAAGATTATTTATATTTTTTCTCGCTTTTAATCAATAAATGTTAAAGAACTGTGATCAAAATTCTTTATAAAACTTAACTTTTTTTCTTTAATAGCTGCTTTAATTTTTTTTTTCTATTTATTTTTTTTTAATATAATTGAGGTAATGGAGATAAATGAATCACTTTCACTGTTTATCTTTCTTTTTTTGATGTAATTAATCTTTTTTTCCAATTTAATTTTGTTCTGTTTCGTTTGGTTATTTTTGTTATTAGTTTTTTGCGTTTTTGTTCGTTAAATGTTTGTTTTATTATTTTTTGTGCATTGAAAATATATAATTTTAAACACATTATCGTAGAACATTATCATTTTCCAGGTAAATAATGACTCATCAATGAGAAAAGATGAAGGATGCACATGTACATTTTGATTTACGTTTTAACAAATTATGATTGATATTTCAGTTTGCTTCTGTATCAGTTATTCATGATGTGTGATTATAACTGTATATCCTGTACTTAATACATTAACTGTCTGATCTGCGGTCGTTTTAGATAAAAATAAACATGAAATCCTTAATGGAAATTCCGCTGAGAAATTCATAATCTATTTTTGAATTTGATAAAACGAATTTATGTGCAACAATATTTCCATTACTAACATTGAATATACATATATATGTATGTTAATTTCACCTTGGAATAGTTCTTTAATTTTATAAGGTGTATCAAATATACTTCAAAAAATAATTGCAGATAAATTTGACATAATTTATTTGTTCCTCTGACCCTTGAAAAATCAAAAATAGAAAGAGATGATGTAAATCAATCGTCGTAAATTTTACCTGTGGTGCGAATTCTTTCCAAAAAGCATGTTGATAAGTGCAAAAATTAAGTTATTTCACATATTAATGAAATTATTTTTACCAACATACGGAGTTCGTCTCCAAATTGATTCGACACATAAGAGCAATTTCCACTTACGAGCAAGTTGCGTAAACGAGGCAAGCTATTGGCAAATGAGTTGACCATACAGGAATATCAGTAATCTCTCATAAAGTACTATTAAACATTTTGCAAATTATTTTCAAATCATAATATCAGTCGTTAACGCGAACGATAATGTTACAAATTAATAGGCAATTATTTTCACACTGAATTTTCTACGGACTTTTCCTTTTACCTGATCATGACTTTAAGGACATACGCAATGGACCGTACTTACTGATAATGTTTCAAGATATTCTTAAATTAATATAATAGTGTCATCAGATGTTCATAGACAAAAAATCAGCATGCATTACCAGGGTTGTTTGAAAGATATCAATTGATGAAAATTCTTTGATGATTCAAAGGAAAATAAATAAAAAATAGTAAACATATATTCTACATCTAGATGTTTCTTTTATCAAAAATTGTTTCATGCAGAAGAAGTGTTCAATACCATATATAGACATTAAAAGATAGCAAGCAGTTCCTTCAAGAAGTGGAACTACTCAATTCCAAGAAAAAAGACAAAAAACGTTCAAACTACGTTGCGTTTGTCCTAAACCCCACGACAGACGAGTATATTCACTCCTCAAATACACCAGATCACACCTCTGTTTTCAGATGACCGTGTTGTTTCTGCTCCTAGTTTGCATTGTTTATATGGACTCTTAAGAATAGTAACTGTTATTTATCTTCATGTTTCAATTTTAAATTGATATTTTAACGTTCATTGATTGCGTAATAGAAAGTTGTATATTTCAAAAAGATAAAAAAGCCAAACAAAAAATTTACGTCTGATAACAGAGAATCTCTTACCCGATTTCCTGAAGTCATTGTCTTTTAAGTTTATTTTAAATTTCAAACATCTATTGCCTTAAAAGACATGACAATTTTTAAATCATAACTATATGACGATTATTATACATCCATACCTATGCTATACTTGTGTAAGTGTATTTGCAAGTTTATCTCATGTTAGTTCAGATTTGCACGCTTTCTATTAATAAATAAGACGATGACTTCATATCACCAATTCTTTTTTTTTGTTTTTTTGCATAAACGTAATATGTAGGGAATAATACTTATTTATAATTTTTGTCCTCCACATTCACTCAAAAGGGGGTTATTAGATTCCGTCTGTCTGTCCGTTCCTCCATCAACCTCTCTGTCTTACTGTCAGTCGCACTTTCGTTTCCGAGCGATATCTTGAGAAGCTTTTGAGATTTTGCATTGATTTTTTATATATTGACTCCCAGTGCCCTACTCTGTTGATTGTGATGTCAAAAGGTCAAAGGTCAATGCCATCAACTCATGAATTCAGTCTATTTTAACATTTTCGTTATATCTCCATGAGAAGCTTTTGATCTTTTAAGATGAATTTTAAAACCCAAATATCCAAGTCTAAGGAAGACCCCTATGGATTTTTAGGCTAAAAGGTAAAAGTTCAAAGTCATAAATTCATTCATTCTGTTTGTAGGTACAACATTCATTTCCGAGTGTTATCTCAGGAAGCTTTTTAAGCTTTTTGAATGAAAATTTAAAACATAACTCCTTAAGGCCCAGCCATCTTTTATAGTGTTCTGTCCCCACCCCAACCCTTTTCTTTCCCGACCCACCATCCAAAACCCCTCTAGATCTGCGCATCTTTTCTTTTTTCTTTTTCGTAAATAGCGTTTTTTTACCAAAATAAAAGCAATTGAAAACCATGAAACTTAAGTCTTAATTAAATAAACATTTTTTTTTAATTGGAGCAAACTTAGTTTAACATATTTTGAATATTGAGATACTCTCACTAAACAAACTCTGTTTAAAAGATGTCGAACAAATTCTGAGTAGTATGCTGAACATACATATTATGTAATAGGTATTTTTAAAAAATAAATAAATATTTTAACACCCCAGATTTAGAGATATACGATCAAGTGATAATCGTCTTTTTGGAAAACAAAAGATTCGAATTGACAGTCATATAAAATTAGACTATAAAAAGGATGTCAAATGCTCTTTTCTTCCATATGAACTTCGAGTTCAAGCAAACTTCGGTCGCTGGAATAAAACTTCCGTATGCTCTAATGACATATTGCTGATCTTGAAGTTCTGTGTCCGCCATATTGTGTACATAAAAAACAAACATGCCATATTCGTAATCGTACAAGAAATACTAACATATCATATGCCGTAGACACAACGTTACCTATGACGCTGTCCTAGTTATCTGTGTGAATATCATAAATGAAACAGAAAGATAATATCTATGACAAGAAGTTTTTTTACTTATAAACTACGTTCTCTATAACCTTGACAGATTCCATAAATCGAGATAATCTCTACGCACTTTTGAATAACAACTTTTACGAGGTGTATTTGAAGAAACATTTCAAATCTCAAAGTTAACATTATGAAAAATAAAAACATATACATAACAGAATGAAAAATTCTTAAATGATTGTGATAAGTACTTGCCAATTTGGCTTCCAGCTTCCAAAAAGTAATCCATTATGAGAATATATCTTAATTTTGCCAAAGGCAGTAACAAAATGATTGTGTGGGTGTCTTTCTTCGTGAATTTACAGGAAATATTTCCTTGTTTCTTGGGTATTCCTATGTTTTATTTCCGTAAGGAAGTATTTAATATAAACGGGTACTTTTTTATACCAATTAAAGCTAGACAGACCAGAGGAATAGATATCAGAGTGTTCGTTCTAAAAATAAATCAGTTGAGAAATTGGGATTCTATTAATAAACCCTGGGGCGGATTCGGGATCTTTTCGGATGAGGGCCCACGTAAACTTTAACAAATTTCAGACTTGAAAATTTTTGACAAATACACAAACAACATCGGGAAAGATCTCTAAAGATAAAAAATGATATTAGATACACTGTAAAGTCTTCTTTTTATATCTGAAATACATTACTTATATAACTTATAAAAACCCCACAGTTGATCTCATTTAAAGACGCCAAGGTTGACTAACTTTCTAGGATTATTTCGTAATTTCAACTTATATAAAAAAAAAGGGAATATCATATAATTTTAATGATGATGTTAAGCCGATTTCTTTCAAAGGATTATTAAAGAAAATGTGTTTCAATTTACATCGTTTTATTTTTTGTTAACCCTATTTTTTGTTGGACACAAATAAGCGGACAATATGATGTGTTTCTCCCTTAAAAACCTAAAACCATAGAAATTCACGATGTTTGATGTATGATTTTGAAATTCGTAAAAAAAATATACGTTACACATCATAATGTCATAGGTTAGAATATAATAAAGTTAAAGGTTTCAAATAAAAGATGGAAACAAACAGTTATCAAGATCAAAAGTCCATTCAACAATTTGAATAGGGAGCAGAGCAGATACTGGCCTATTAAAACTTCAGTGGTGGATTCAAGTGCCACGGAGGAGTAAGCCGAAAATTGTCCGCATTCAACTTAATGATAGATTATATTTGCTGACATGGTCATTGTAACGACTGAGCACAGAACCTGCGAAATGACGACTTTAAACGAAGTCATAGTTAAAATTATTGTTCACCAACTCGTACATGGATGTAGAAATTGTTCGCACATAGAGCACGCTGTGCATTATGATTATGAGCCCCATATGCAGGTACATTGCTGCAAAAGTAAGGGAAACTGTCAATAAGAAATATGATGTCATTATATTTCTCATAAATGTGTGTTGTTAGGTAAGCGTTAAGGTCTTTATCTGGTAAAATATCAATTTACGAAGCAGATGTTTTAGAAATGTTTTAGAAAATTAGAAAAAGATCTGCTAATAAAGGGTGCAAATTGTATCAATGAGAATTCTTACAAACTAAATACCACGTAAATATTGTCAATCAGAAACTTCGGCATTTTTCTCACATTTGAAATTTGACCATGAGTTTAGGTCAAAATTTTTATTCATTAAATGACAGATTTGAGAGATATGGCTAAACTAAGACAGTTTTGGCATATTACAAGCAATTTAATATCTCAATGAGCTGTAATGGTAACTTTTATGCTAGACCCCCCATTCATTACAACCAAGATAGCTTTTAACAACAGAGATACTAGTACAAATCTGAGCCAAAATTAGGGGCTGTATCACTGCTTTACAATACCTACACGAAAACTTTTCAGATCTATGTTTACAGAAAATTGTTCTAAGCAATGGTTATTATTTAAGAATCAATGATGAACTTACATGCTATGTATGCAAATTACCCTGTGTTCCAATATACCTTCGTAAAATTAAAACAATGACAGTTATTGCATGAATATATGAACATTATTTTTCTCATCTAAAGCTACTGTTTTAAATATAGTAACTGTATTATTTACCTGTGGGTAAGTTTCTTTAAAACTATTTAACGTTGCTGCATATTGTGTTGTCAATGGATAATTATGTCTTGTTTGGGCTTTTGTAAAATAAAACACATGCTCATTTACTTTCTGTCTAATATAAGCAAAAAATTTGCTCCTCCTTGATGACAACTGTTTTTCATAAGTTGCTGTCTTTGGGGATTATAAAATTGAGAGATCATCTTAGCAGGAAAATAAAGCATATACTTATCACCTTTGATTTTACAAGAAACAACGTTTAATTTTGTAATTCATCAGATGCAAAATTATCTTTAAAACTGCTATTATACATTTCTTTTTTTATTGTGAAAATAAATTAAAAAGTTGTTAAGACAGTTTGTTAGAATTGATTAAATTCACTAAACCTTGTTTTTTACTACAGATCCCAATGTTTACCTCGTGGTCCAGCTACCCACAGCGGCAGACGACAGTCCTACCTCAACCAGTGGTTCCCGCCAGTTTAGGTAGGTATTTCCAGCCTTCTATTTTAGGAAGATGAGAGCTAATGGAAAAAAAGATTATTTACAATGCATATTATGGTGGCATATTTCTGCCCTTTGTGTGCAAGTTAATTTTCTATTAAATATGTCGACATGCAAGATAGATATGTTGACATGCAAGATAGTTATGTCAATGTTGACATGAAGAAAATTGCAATAAAATAAAAATTATAAAAAAAATCTTCAAAAATCTTAAATATTGCCCACATGTGACATCCAACATGCTAAATGCTACTTATTTATGTTAACATGCAAGATAAATATGTTGACATGCAACTTATATATGTTAACCTGCAGCTTATTTATGTTGACTTGCAACTTATTTATGTCGACATGCAACTTGGTTATGTTGACATGCGAGATAACATGTTGACGTGCAGCTTATAAGTTGCATGTCGACATAAATATATCGCATGTTTACATAAATAAGTTGCATGTCAACATATTTATCTCGCATGTCAAAAAATAAGTTGCATGTCACCTCGCAATGGTTTTACCCTCAGCGCTAATATAACCATTCAACATAAATAAATTATATGTATCAATACAGTAATTTTCTTGCATATCAGCATTAACTATCTTGCATGTCAACATAAGATATCTTGCATGTCGACATAAATAGAAAATTAACTTGACACAAAGGGCATTAATATGAATATTTAAACAAACTTACATGAAAAGCTTATTTTTTTCTCGGATAAAAAGACCACAATTGGTTTTACCCTCAGCGCTAATATAACCCTTACAATCTTATATGTATCAATACAGTAATTTTCTATCAGCATCGAAACATTAACGACATACCTCGACTGACTCGGCTGGTCGAACAAACTTCGGATGTGATTGGTGGAGTAAAATGATTTCTCCGCTTGAGATACCTTTTTACCCTTTCTTATTTTGCATTGTATAAAGTTCACAAGAAAACATTCTGTCTTGCCCAATGTCTCTTTGTGCATTTCAATTGATTGTAATTTTCTGATAGCAGATTTTATAAGCAGAATTTTAGTTGTGGACACGCCACATATTAAATCAGTATTCAAAAGAATATTTATTGGAATTCCCATCGATACCAATTGCGTCCCGTTGTTAGTAGACCTATATTTGTATTAATATGAAGCAGAATTAGTCAAAATTTTATACGTAAAAGGAAGAAAACACTTGCAGTGACCTTCAAATAGACATTTAGATATATCGACGATGTATTGTCAATTAACAATGGTTATTTCCATTCTTAGGTTGATACGATATATCCTGGTGAGCTTGAGATGAAAGATGTCAGAGAATCTGACACATTTGTTTCATATTTGGATATTTTACTTGAAAAAGACGTTAATGGTAATCTAAAAACCAAATTCAATGATAAACGTGATGACTTTTACTATTCATACGTAAACTTCCCTTACCTTTGCAGCAATATACCTTCATCACCTGCATACGGAGTTTATATCTCTCAGTTTAATCAATACGCAAGAGCATGCTGTACGTATGTACAATTTCTAGAACGAGGTAAATTATTAACATACAAGTTGATGAAACAAGAATTTCAGCAGTCTCGTTTAAAATCACCATTTCGTAAGTGCTAGGGTCGAGACAATGACCTTGTCAGCAAATACAATTTATCATTGAGTCAAAACTGGCGTCTTTCACACTAATAATTTTAGTCCATTATTTACATATTAAATTGACGACGGATTTTCCGTTATTTCCCGATCATGACGAGGAGCACACGGTGAGTGTGAACGGTCGGCAGGGGATGCTCACTCCTTCATGGCACCTGATCTAATCTCTGATGTTTTGGAGGTCCGTGTTTGCTCAAAGTATTAATAACATATATAAGAGTGGACTTATATATTAAGAATATTTTAACGTTCCTTGGTTGTTGGAGGAATAGGTGCTTTGCTTTATTTAACTGTTTAAACAAGATTATTTCCATAAACCTGAAATTTTTTTAACACCTTATTATTATCTATATACGTGTTTGCCTTTTTTCATGTTTAACAAAGATATATACGAGGGGCAGCTTTAAGTTTTTTGAGGGGACTTTCCCTTAACTTTATTCACAATAATTTTGTAAGCATAAACCTTTTGTCAATTTTGTTATCCAACACCGATAACTTTTTTTTCTTCCAGAAGTTGACTTATTTTTCCAAATAGACAGATAAATCAATTTTTACTTCCCTTTTACAACTTTGTACTCTATAATAAGAACGCGTTAATAACCAGGTAAATGACGGTGATTTTTAAAGTTAAAGTCAATAAAATGGAGTAAATCCATAACCTGACCCCATTTTTTTCAAATGCATAGTTACTCCTACTTCCATGCACTAGGGCCCTCAAATAGTGTTTTATTGTCTGTTGAGAAACTAATTGTTATATTTGAATCTTAAATGAAGTACTAGTATCCAACTTCCCATGCGTTATATATTTTAACCTTACAATCTGTTAGTACAATATAAATGTACAGTACTTCTTTCAAACATTATAATTTCTTCCTGTTAGCTGTCGTAACACATATCTCTACAGATTATTTAACTATTATAAAATTTCCTTCGTAAAAATATTATTTTTCCAAGACTTAATTATATGTAACATAATACACATTTTCAACTATGACAAAATGAAATTGCATTATTCATACATACATTTTGAAGATTAGATTAAGGCAAAATTTGCGAAACCCTTAAAATTGTTTCATAAATATGTAAAAAGATAACTTTTCCAATGTTTCTATTTTAACGGTAAAGAAAATGATTTTTGACGGTCAGTGAGATTTTGGACCGCTATTACATTTTTATAGTCAAAGCTGATTTGCATATATTAAACCGCAGTCTTATTTGATAGGCAAGAGCATGCTCTACGTATGAACAATTTCTAAAACGAGGGAAATCATTACCAAACAAGTTGATGTAACAAGAATATTAGCAGTCTCGTTTAAAGTCATCATTCTTTCATAAGTTAAAGTCTTAAGTTCTTTGGTCGATACAATGACCTTGTCAGCAAATATAACTTATCATTGAGTCAAATGCTGACTGACGTTTTTCATATTAATTGTTAGTCCATTATTTATACACTGAATTGACGACGGATTTTCCCGTTATTTCTCGATCATGACAAGAAGCACACGGATTTTTCCGTTATTTCTCGATCATAACAAGGGGCACACGGCGGGTGTGACCGGTCACAGGGGATGCCCACTCCTCCATTACACCTGATCCCACCTCTGTTGCTTTAGAGGTCCGTGTTTGCTCTCCTCTTATTTTGTATTGTTTTATGGACTTTGATAGTGAATACTGTTCGTTATCTCCATATCCTTCATCTAGATGGAAGCATCATAAAAGAATCTCAGTTGCATTTAACATGCAATATTTAAATTTCATTCGTTAGTGTTCAGCAGGTGTAATAACATTAATATTTATTGGGTAGATTATATATTCGATAATCTGGCAAAAGTATTTTTCTGTCAATTTCCATATTTGTTCTAATTAACATTTCGATTTCTGAATGAAACTTGTGCCTTGGGTCTCACAACCTCGTGCAAACAGTTTGGTTCTAGAGTTAAAAAAAACGAATCTTATCAATGCATGTAAATATATATTCGATAATCTGACATTATTATAATAACAAAGCAAAAGTATTTTTCTGTCAATTTCCATATTTGTCTTAAATTCTAATTAACATTTCGTGCTTAAACGGAAGCGCATAAATTTAGATAAATCCGCTTTGCAATGCCTGACCGACATACCTCGCGACAAAACAGACATCTCTCAATGCTAATGATAAACCTGTAATATCCGACGGTACCTATTTATTTAAAATAGAAAGTTTATATTTGTGAATTAAGTGTTATTAAGTACAGAAATGGTATTCATAAAAAAATAGTACGTGACCTGTTTTGGTTTTCTTAAAGAAAAAAAATTGATTTAAAATTTGAACGATTTCACCATAGAATTTTGTGTAATATTAAGTTAGTGATTGACACTTTATATTGATCAACAAAAAGTACCCTCAAACTACTAAGTTATGTTAGGAAATGTTTAAGTCTTTCTTTTTCACGTTAAATTAGTTACATTTTTTTTTTTACAATTCATTGAAATGTACCAATATATCTAATTACAACTTCACAGCATTATTGTATTCTCCAATATCAACTAATGAATATTAGAATTTGATTATGTTATCCACACGTTATATTAGATCTATTTTTGTATTCTTTTGAAGAGAATTTGTTCAAAATCTTTTACATGAAAAGAAGAAAACATTTGAGCCATAACTGTGACCTTCACCTGACATTTAGTTATATGGAAGACGCATTGTCAGTTAATTAACAATGGTTATTTCCATTCTTGTGTTGACACGATATATCCCAGTGAGCTTGAAATAAAAGATACCAGACAGTCTGATACATATGTTTCAAATTTAGATATTTTACTAGAAAAAGACTTGATGGTTATCTAACAAGAAAGCTTTATGATAAACGTGATGACAAACTTTTCAATTGTCAACTTCATCACCTGCATACGGAGTTTAGATATCTCTGCTGATTCAATACGCAAGAGCATTCTCTATGTATTAACAATTTCTAAAGCGAGGAAAGATTTTTCTATCATATCCCGATCATGACAAAGACCGCAAGCGGGTGTGACTGGCCTGCAGGAGATGCTCATTCCTCTTTAGCATCTGATCCCACCTCTGAAGCTTTGGAGCTTCAATACTGCCTTACAAAACAGATAATTAGATAATTAGATATCATCAAGTAACTCTTAATTTCTCTGAGCTATACAGAGTTTTTAGCTCACATGAACCGAAGGCTCAAGTGATCTTTTCTGATCAAAATTTGTCTGTCGTCGTCGTCGTTTTCGTCGTTGTTGTAAACTTTTCACATTTACATCTTCTCCTCAAGAACCACTGGACCTATTTCAACCAAACTTGCTACAAAGTATCCTTGGGTAAAGGGGATTCAATTTTTTTCATATGAAGGGCTACGCCCTCTTCCAAGGGGAGATAATTATGAATTAGTTAAAAATTAATGGCATTTTTAAAAAAAATCTTTTTCTCAAGAGCCACTGTGCCAGGAAAGATGAAAATCATATGGAATCATCCTCAGGTAGTGTAGATTCAAGTATGTTCAAATCATGACCTCTGGGGGTAGGGTGGGGCCACAATGGCCGATCAAAGTTTTACATAGGAATATATAGGAAAAATCTTTAAAAATTTTCTTCTCAAGTACTGCAAAACCATGATTAGTGATATTAATATGGAAGCATCCTCAGGTAGTGTAGATTCTAATTTGTTCAAATCATAACCCCCAGGGATAGGGTGGGGCCACAATGAGGGATCCAAGTTTTACATTAAAATATATTTTAAAAATCTTCTTCTAAAGAATAGCAAGGCCATGATTAGTGATATTAATATGGCAGCATCCTCAGGTAGTGTAGAATTAAATTTGTTCAAATCATAACCCCCAAGGGTAGGGAAGGGTCTCAATGGTGGATCAAAGTTTTACATAGGAAAATAAAGGGAAAAATCCCAATAACCGAAAAGCTATGTTAAGTCATATTGACATGTAAGCATCATCATGTATTGAAGATTTAAAATTTGTTCAGATCTTGAGTAGGGAGGGAAACAATGGGGAGTCAAATTCAAATTATTACAAAGTAATATATGCAAACAAAATGTTTTAAAAAATCTTTTTCTCAAGAACTTTCTCAAGAAGTTATATGCAGTATTGATATGGAGGCATTCTCATGTAGTATTAGAATTCAATCCCCCCACCCCACCCCTCAGTAAACTTTTCAATTCTGATTTGTGCTTTTTTTCTAGCTGATGTGCTCAGGTTAGCGATGTGGCCCCTGAGCCTCTTGTTTAATAAACACTTATAGGCATGTCAAGGGCTTCTGCATAATTTGATGCACTATTTAGAGACATAGAGATTCATCATGAAACAAACATTGAATTCAGTTACGTCAGTTACTTTAGGAATAAATATATATACCGTTAGTGTATTTTGGATATATAGTGTCAGAATACATCAAAGATATCTATATAAGCCATAAATTGACATAATGATGTAATGATTTCGTTTCATCTTAAGAAAAAAGAAAATGAAGTCCTGAACAAAAGGGAACCCTAACTTAACTATCAGGCTTTGTTCTATCGTACTTTATGACGATTTTGCATCAGGAACATAAATGTCTGCCGCGTCCCTATTCGTTTGTTCCTACTTGTATACATATTGTCCTTACTTCCGTCTCTGGATCAGCCGAGATTTATTGAGTTCGGGGTCTACAGAATTAACGAATCTCACATTACAATGTACCTATATGTTATGTTTGTCAATCAATTGAATTTAAAGCCGTATTGATGTGACGGAATATAGATAAGGAACAAGGCTTCCTGTTTGTGTGCTCGTAGGTGGATACAAATGGTCACTTAAATTCTGTTCATATTCAAATGAAAACATTTGTTCAAAGTGTAGGATGACGATATATTCAAACTTTCAACAAATTTATTACCATATATTCAATCGTAAAAAATGAACTAATGCACAGAAATAAGTTTCTCTAAAAGCGTGAGGTCTCAATGGAAATTGACTGATTAAAATACATCCTGTTTGAGGAAAGAGGAGATGGAAGCGAAAGTTTTGTTGCATATTTTATTTAAGTAAAATCATGGATTGCTTTTATTTATGAAACAGTATGCAATCGATATATTTACTTGTTTTAGACAGTTAAACATTTTCATTAGATAGCTTTATACCGTAAAATTCTCGCAAAAAATACAAGACCTTACTCAGTCTTGTGTATTTGATGTGGAAATGGTTGAAAAATAAAAACAAACAAATTACAGCATAACACAACATAACAAAGAAATAAAACATCAGCAACTTTCTGTAAATTTCACTAAGCTGTCTTGGAAGACTAACGATTATGGCACGCCAAATTCACAAAAATGAGCTAAACATAGTTTCACAGTTTTTAAACTCGGACTGTAAACTATAGTTAACAACGTTAATCTATATTTTAAATCCGTAAACCATAGTTAACGCGATAATCTATGTTTCACAAACGTAAACTATACTTAACACTGAAAACAATCATTTGCAATTGCAAAACATAGATTATCTGATAAATACAGTTTGATAAATACAGTTTCACGATTTGTAAACTATAGTTTACAAACCGTTAACTATAGTTAACGATCTGATAAATATAGTTTCACGATTTGTGAAACTATGATTAACAACTCTTAACTATAGTTTACGATTGTAAACTATAGTTTACAAACGTTGTTTATCAGCAAAATCTATTGTTAACGCTTATTACAGACAGATAAACTTAGATTATCATTCGTAAACTATAGTTAACAACCGTTAAATATAGTTTTACATTATACTTAACGTTTAACTATACTTAATAATTACTTTGTTTAACGTAAACCTAGTTTATCAATTGTGATAGGTTTATCTCATTTTTGTGAATTTGGCGTGCCATAAACGATTGTATTTTTTTTACTCTGAACTCTATTTTCATGAGTAGTGGCTGAATCTAATAGTTTTGGGGACTTTACTCAAAAAAGGTAGGGGTAAGATTGGTTTTTGATGGTTTAATATCAAGAAAAGAGGGAAATGAAAACGGTTTTCATTTGTTTCAATTAATAATTACTTGTTTAACGTGTTATAAGATATTGTCAGTGTTACCTATTTACTAAAACATCACTTGGACTATTTTGTTGATAAGATGTATTAAGCGACAATTGGCATGAAGAGTGAAAATAAAAGATAATCGCACAATTATAGTTGGGGAATTCTAACCCCAGATAACAGAATACAGGTATTCAAAGACATACACTAAATACAGAGTAACAGGAGTCTTGTTTACACATGTACGCAAGACATGCGTTTTTGCAAGTTGGTACGCAGCCAGCAGGCCCTTGACGTTATACTTTTCCTTATCACATTGACAAAAAATTAAAACCTCCTCGTACAATAAGAAAAAAATATATAAGGTCAAGTGCGTCAAATAAAGTTAAATGACACTTGCAAAAATCTAGCCTTCTAAGTAAATGTTGAAATGGTCATCTTTAAAAAAAAAGTTCCAGTAAAATAAACCGTGTACACCAAGGTAGAGCAACATAATTTCAGCACTACTTAACAGTCACTTAGTGCTCTGTCGCTCCTCTAGGATGTAATATATACACACAACAGTTTCCGAGACATTTATCGCTGAGGTTTCCTCCTTCCTATTAAAGCGTTTCCGAACACAGGCAGATAATATTGTTTATAGACAGGAATCCAATCAGTTTTCTGTCTCGGCTTCAGAGCGTCGGCAGGTAATCATGCTGGTCAATGAAGCTGTGTTTCGCTTTATCAAAGGTAAAAGGATGTCATTTGGGAATTTTAATGTGGTTGTTTTTACTTATCTCCTCATGGGTTTTTAAAAAAAAATTATTTACTTTTTCCACTTACCTTTCCTTTTTTTTTTTATATATTTCCCTTTAAGGCTGGTTACATTTAGTAGATATACATTAAGGTAAATTGTGTACATGTATATTGCTGATCGAAATGTTATATCTATTTTTAGCTAAGCATCCCCAACAATGGACCAAGGAAGAGGTGGCAGCGTGGCTCCGGTGGTGCGGGGAGGAGTACTCGATAGAGGCGGTTCCCGCCGACAAGTTTGACATGAATGGTAAGAACTCACTGTATCTCTTGATATTTCGGTACATATAGGGCTGCGTTTAGGAAGATGTGATGTGAGGGCGATTGGGAAAGTGAGGATCAGTAACAAATATGACATTCAGTTTTTTTGTTTTTGTTTTTTTTTGGGGGGGGGGTTTTTTTTTTTTTTTTTTTTTTTTTTTTTTTTGTTTTGTTTTGTTTTTTTTTTTTTTTGTTTTGTTTTTTTTGGCATGGAGAATGAATATAAGCTTCGTGTTTCATCAAGATTTGATACAGGTATCAAAGTATAAAAACAATTTACATGGATGTGATTTATAATTTTGTCATAAATTTATGACCCTAGAGATGAATTATGACTTAGGAGGTCGTGCACTCTTATTCAGTGGATTTTAAGAAAGATTTATCTACAATAATTATAAAAATGTACTTATAGAATTCATGACTAATGAACCATTACCATCTTAAGAAATCACTTTTAAAAATTTAAACATTATTGTTTTCCAATTTTATTAAGACTTTGAAACACAATGTACCTGAAATTAAAGGCGGGGTCTTATTGTTCAAAATAATATTGATGGGACATACCACATCTAAAAGGAGTAATATTAAAGATATATTTTCAAGATAATCAAGATAAATTATAGGCAGTTATTGTTTTTTTAGCTTCCGTGTAAATATACTATTCGAAACAAATAGTCCACAGGAAATATCTATATCACTGCAACCTAAGACTATCCCTGTATATCGTGCTTTTCCTTCTGAATTGCAAAAATTGCTGGAAATATGATTAATGGAATCATTTTAAAATATGCAGTTCAAATTAGGATCCAAATAGTTCTAAATTTAATTTTATGACACACAGATTGTTGTTTGTTTACCTTATTTTAGAGAAACTGATAATACCAGTAGTTTATACACCGTACACTGGAGAATTATTTCAGAACCAAACATTTAAATGTTTTGATCGGTATTGGCTCTTGATTCCAGGAAGTTAAAAAAAAAAATACAGCACTTTGATGTCACGCCAAGCAGAAATGCCATAAATTGATAAAGATCAGGTTTCATATATGTAATATAATATGCAAAGAAAACGTGCAAAATTATTTTCTTCTTACCATGTACATACTTTAAGTATTTACATAGTTTACATTGATGTGATTTTTTTTCATAATTGAGGATGTACATGTATAATGAGTCTGGAAATGAAACTTAAGAGATCTAAAGTTGTTAAGAGTAAAGGGGAAAGAAATATAAGCTATGTATAGAAAAAAATGTTTTCTCTATACTAAGCGAATAAAAAAACGATATAATAAAGAGACTGCATGGGTGTCAAATGAAGAGAGAGGGGGGGATGTAAAGTGCTAGGATAACAGAATCAATAATGTCATTCCAATAATAAATATATACATGTAGTAGTTAGCTAAACCTGTCCATGAAAAAAAAACATATAAGGATCTGGTATATCAATAAATCAGATAATTTTTTGCGATAAAATGAAATTCCTGGTTCGAGAACATAAAAATTTACCATCAAGTCCTCTGACAGTTCCGTCTTTTAATGGCAGTGTCTCTTTAAACAGGAAAAGCTCTGTGTCTTTTGAAGAGAAGCGATTTTATGGAGCGAGTGCCAAAGAATGGAGACCTCCTGTTCAATGCATTAAATAAGCTTGTGCAGAAAAACTCAGGTGAGTTGTATGAGATCTTTAAACAATTTCTATGCCCCCGTAATCGAAGATTCTGGGGTGCATAGTTTTTGCACTGTCCGTCTGTCTGCTGGTCTGTATGAACTTCAACCTTGTAAATAACTTTTAGGTGGGTGGATGTATGGTTTTCATATTTGACATGTGTATTCATTATGACAAGACCTTTCTTAGGGTACAACCAAATTCGACCTCTTGACCTTTGAGTTTGACCCACTTTTATCAAAAATTTCCAAACTGTAACTTCAGTCATGTTTTGAACAGTTGGTGCTATAGGGCTTTCATATTTCGAATATGTATTCTTTTTGACACTTTTGACCTTTCGATGGGTATAAATATTTTTGACCTATGGCTTTTAACCTTGGAGTATTACTCCACTTTCTAAAAAAAAAATAACCTTGGCCATACCTTTTGAACAGCTAGTACTAAGGCTTTCATATTTCAAAAGTGTATCATTCCTTGTGACAACACCTTTCTTTGGATACCAACAATTTTGACCTTTAAAATCTTGACCTTGGAGTGTGAATAGCATTGAAAACTCTAATATAAACTGACATATGGGAGCATCAGTGTTTCTTAAACATATCTTGTTTTCTATCACAAGAAAAAGCAGTTTAATTCAATTTTAATTAGAATGAAGAAAAATAAAATCGCAATCTTTATTAATCTAAAGAGAAATTTTAATTTCCTGCAGGTTTTATTCCGTTTATATATTGAAGTTTTTTATTAACTGTCTGATTTTTAAGTCAGGATATCATTTTCTGTTTTAATTACAGGTACCTTTGAGGGTCAATCCCAGTCAGGATCTCCCTACCAAAATATCTCACCCTCACCGTCCACATTTCAGATCCCACAGCAGTTTTCTTCGCCAGGTAATCATTTTATTATTGGTCGTATTGCGTGCAAAAGGGGAGGGGGGGGGGGGGTAACTTCATATCCGTATTTTATCTCATGTGATTTCGCCTCTTTAAATTTACGTTGGCACTAAAATTTGCGCAACTCTGGTCACAATATTGGACACTGAGAATCTTAGATAATTAATAGAATAAAGTAAATTAATGGATATGATACACATTTCAATACTTCGCGTGATCGAAAAGTTGAGCTTATAAAAAAAGATTCCTATAAATATTATAAAGGCATACAGCTTTTCCAATATTTGCAATCAATACTTTATTGAAAAAAAAGTGATAAATCTACTTCTAAAATTTTACAACAGATGCAGTTTTCAAAAAAAAAAATGTGCATAAAGTGCATTCATCTCTCTTGACGTTTGACATTTAAGCCAATCGGGTGAAAGAAACTGAACATTAATTTCCAACTGTCGCTGTGATCCCCTCTCCAAACGCACTGATCTACTTCCTCTCCACCAGGAAACGGTTCACAGGAAAGCGTTCTATTGACGTTATTTATGGTCATGTAAAAACTTAATCATCCGGATATTTCAGGAAAACAGTAGGGAGTGATAATGATCGGGAAAATGTCAAACATGTCTGCATTTCCGCGTTGATCTTTGAGACAGGCCGGATGTAGGACAAGTAAAATGTTTTTAATATGACACCAACTTGCTGCTAGTAATTCAAGGTATTGATCCGCAGACTTGTTGCGTTTTGAATTGTAGTGTTTCCTTGTTTGTATTGTTTTTTTTTTTTTTCGTGTTTCCAGGTAACTTGGCACCATCATTTTGTCCGTACAAGGAAAGGCTACAAAAACTCCCAAACCATTTATTTATCGACAACTAAAATCATGTACATGTATCTGTTTACTAGAAACATCAGCTGTTTGACTCCCACCCAATAAAATGACGCAAAGAAAATTGCATAAAAAATTTGTAACTTCCAGTAATAACTAAGAGAAGGGAAGATTGAGAGTTTGAGATAAATATTAAAATTCGTACTTGAGTATAAGTACATTTTATGGACATTGACCTACTCTTCTAAGTAGCAATGCGAGGAGGAAGTCATTTACTGAGGTTGAGGAAGGCAAAAGTGAAATAAAAGGAAGCAATTTAATTACAGGAAGCAATTTTATTCGCTTTTATCACAAAACGCTGTAAAAACAAGGTGAAAATCTTTAAATATATATATAAGATGTGTTTTTTTTAATATTTACCAATAAAAAAATACTGTTCTCCATACGACTTCTCCTGGCTTTTTTCCAAATATGTTTAAAAAATATTATGATATTGCATTTTTTTAAATTATGAAGTTATTTCAGTCTATTGTCATTTGATGCATGTGGACTGCGTACAACGTGTGTATAGTTCTGGATAGTGATGCACAGTAATTTAAGCCACTTTATCTTTCAAACAGATATATACCATACGCTTTTATTCGTTCTTGATATAATGATACCTTTTCAAAATGTATTCAAGAAGAAGCTTCAATACATTCCGAGCCTTTTTTCTCCCTACGCCCCTGTTTTATCCGGGCGTTGTCTGATTGTCATATTTGACACTGTGTATTATGGGAAGCTTTTATGTTTACATTATTTCAGTTATTCTTTCATTTCGTCTTATCTTAAAAATATAAAAAAACATATTTGGGCGAAAGTGCATCGACTGTGTTTTTCTTCTTTTTCTCTCCCTTTTTCGGAAGGTGGGGGGGGATGGGGGTGATAATAAAAATTGCATTATTTTCCTTGTCATATATTTTTGAAAGGATGAAACATCTGGCCATTTGCCCTACCAAATTCCTTCTTGAGATCCCTCAGTGTTATATCATTTCTTTATCTGTTTTGTGGTTATTCAGTGTTTCCATTACACTTTGCAGTATGTATAACTTTTTTTTCATACGTAGGTCGAAAATTTTACACACTAGAATTGGTGCCGCGTCCAGGATATTTAAAAATCGTTCAAAGTTTATTTTAAAAAGTCAGAGAAATTCTAAAAAGTATAAGGGGAACTTGCTTTTGATGCTGGTTGACGAACTAGAAGAGTAGACATTAGAACTGTTTCCCCAGAGACTATTTACCAAAACACTTTACTTTCAGATCAGACTAACGGTGGGCTAGTTCTTATATCCCGGTCCAATGCCCAGACAACACAAGTGTACACTACCAAAGTGAGGCCGTTTGTTCCCATACTTCCACATCCGGCGAATCACATCCCAAAACAAGAGATACCCCCTGTAACCACTGTACCAGGTAGTTGTAAGAATTAAGATACATAAATTTAAAATGAAAAGTGAATTAAATAAAAGTTTGAAATGTATTTACATCTACAATTTTGAAATCCTTTATTTTACAGGGATTTTAAGTCCTGCGCCCAGTCCCTCCGACACCGGAAGTGGATCTGACGTAGATTCCTGTACAGAATATGACGGTAGCTACCTTAATATAATATTACTTCCAATTTTCATTTTACTTCTGTTTTACTATACCTTAATATATATTACTTCCAATGTACATTTTACTTCTGTTTAACTGTACAAGTTGAAATTTTTACCTATGAAAATGTAACCCACGGAAATAATTCACAGATCGCATGACGTGTAGAAATCCAATTCAGCCATTGCAATTGAACTACATGAATCAGCTACGCCCAACGATGGCCACAGGTTCAGAGCTTGTTCCATTTCTACGAAGCAAGGAATCAGGTATGAGTAAGTCAATACTTTTATTTATTATTTTTTTCTCGATGAAAGTTCATTATTCCAATCATCAACCAACCTTTCAAGTTATGGTCAATACGGTCTCCAAATGTTTGTTTGTACATGCGTGGATTGTAAAGCATTCTAGCTTTTTTGTTTTTATTTCACTTCATTCTAATGTCCATTTCATTTCTTTAAAAAATTGATACATGTAATACGTTATTTTTTATCTATTTAAATGAACTGTCTTTTTGTTTCTTGTATGCTTTATATCTCAGTATTGTCTATACACTCTTCACATTGCAATTAAGATTAAATTTTCACTAATGTGTGTCTATATTTCCAGATTGCCGACTGTTATGGGAATTTATATACCAGCTTCTCCAAAACCCATACTACAAAGAATATGTCTGTTGGGAAAAATTAGATGACTATGTTTTCAGGATCAACAACCCAACAGGATTGGCACAACTCTGGGGTCACCAGAAAAACCGAACGAACATGACTTACGAGAAACTCTCTCGGGCACTCAGATATTATTATAGAATGAATATCATCAAGAAAGTCTCTGGAAAACGACTTACATATAAGTAGGTTTTAATAGGGAAATTAATCTTTAATCTATTTTTAAGTTGTTTGTAATACAAAGCATTCTGTGTTTTATAAAGTATGAAAAAAAATATATAGCAAATGTAGAAATTTAGAAATCTATGTGATAATTATTGTACTTCCAAAACCAGTAAAAACAAAATATTCAAATCCTTGCCATTTAATATTGAGGTTGAAACATTTAAAAATGATTTGAGGATATCTAAATGACATTTTCAAATGTTCTATGTGCTATCTTCCTGAATAAATAAATTTTAAAGTACATCTATTCGAGCACCTATGACGTCGATAGATGTCTAGCTGTTGTATTACTGTAAATTGTACCTCAATTGTAATTTAATCATAATTAAAAATTCCCAGAGTTCATGAAAAAATAGGACAGAAAAATGTATTTTTTTTTCAACTACAGGTGAGTTTTTGTCAGCAAAGTTAACTCAGAGTCCATAGATATATGAGATAAAATCCTAAATCAAATCTTTTTAAATGACAAGCGCAGTTGCAGTAAAGCAAGACCTAATTAAAAGTTTCTTTCCAGAAAAACGAGTCTTTCAATTTTAACCCCTAAATTAAAAATTTTACACTCAGAAAACAATTTTCAATGCTATTTCTTTTACTATAAAATAGGTGTTCATGAAAATGAAACAAATAAGTATTATACATTTAGATTTGATCACTCAAGATGAAGTTTTTTTCTCTTCTAGTTACTGTATACGCGTCAACAAGAATAAAATAGATTTTCCTTTAAATTTTAGGGAGGGGGTACATCAACTGAGGGTGAATTTAAGAACTTTCATGTATTCTTCATCTGAATATTTTTTTGTTAGCCATTTGAAAATTTGTAAATCCATTCAATTCATTTGAATAAGTATTTCGGGTTTCCTTCGATACATACTGATAGAATAAATACTAGATTTTCACAATTGGTCGATTGAGTATACATTATTTCTGAGTATGATATTTCTATTCCAAAACAGATTTATGCAACCTCCTTGCAATATACAGAAAGGCCAAAGGGGAGCAAAGCCCCACAGCCGATCAAATTTGTTATCCTCGTGTAAAGACGAAGAAGTAGATGATTTTGATGACGACATGCGCACAGACGACACTTTATCGTCAGAATTGTCGCAGGCTTCAATAGAATCAAGAGCTATCAAACTCGAGATTCCGGACTGCCACGAGTTCTCACGAACGGACGTTTCCCGGGATAAACTTACGAGGAGTATGTCGTACCCGGGAATGGTGCATCTGTCCTCGACCAGTAACTCCGCCGATGCGATGGATCAACCAATTGACTTTACAATGACAACGCTAAAGCGAAAAGAAAAGTCTGTTGATGACAGTGCTTCATCTCCAAGGACATGTACACAAATGAGTTTTCCACTAACCATTAATGACGCCTTGTCAACCAACAGTTGACCAATCACTGTATTGGGTGGGGTCGTCAACAGTTGACCGATCATTGTATTGGGTGGGGTCACCAACAGTTGACCGGTCATTGTATTGGGTGGGGTCGCCAACAGTTGACCGATCACTGTATTGGGTGGGGTCACCAACAGTTGATCGATCACTATTGGGTGGGGTCACCAACAGTTGACCGATCACTTTATTAGGTGGGGTCGCCAACAGTTGACCGATCACTGTATTGGGTGGGGTGCTCTGTGTATATTCAGTGGTTTGTGATTTTCTAGGGTTGTTCTCAAAGTGCAACTGAAACCGGTGCTCATTGTTGACTGTGAAAGACTAACGCTACTGTGTCAGAAGTGCAAGTGATTTTTTTATACAAATCCTCAATTTTACTATTGATATCAATAGCAAGACTGTGTTATGCGATTTCATATTGTAAAGGGAATCGCTCTTATGGTTTTGTAAATATGTGGTCGTTATTATTTGATAACGTAAATACTGATTTAAAATCGATTACGTGAAATAAAATGTCATTCATAACGTCTGCATATATACATGTACATTTTTATGTCCCATAATTGAATACTCGGGGCATATAGATTTTGCTTTGTCTGTCCGTCTGTCTGTTCGTCTGTAAAAACTTTTTATCTTGCTTAACTTTTGATTGGTTGGAGGTATTGCTCACATATTTCACTTGTATATTCCTTTTGGCAAAACTTTTTGTTGGCTACTCACTTATTTGGCCTTGAAATATGACCCAATTTTGCAAAATTTTATCAAACTTAAAGCTTCGCCATAACTTTTGGACGGTTTGTGCTAGGGCTTTAAATTTCATACTTTAAATGTGCACTTCTTGTGGAATGACCTTTCTTTGAATACAAACTTTTTTCCACTTTCTAACTTTGACCTTGGAGTATAATTCTCAATTTTTTAAGAAAAAAACTTAAGCTTTGGCCAAAAGATTATTTGGAACTAGTGCTTTTATATTACAGATGTATAAGGTCTTCCTTTTGGTACCAACAATATTGACCTTTGCGTTTGACTCACTTTTGAAAAAAAATTCCAACGGCCATAACTTTTGTTGGAGTTGGAGTTAGGTCCCCTTAATTTTCTGTGACAAGTCCATCCCTTTGTTACCAACATTTATGATTTTTTACCCTGACAACTGAATTTTATTTCACTTATTTTTAAAATACTTTAAGCTTGATAATGATCTTGAATGATTACATGTAGCACTAGGGTCTTCATATTTCATGTCCTTGTGACAAGTCCTTCAATTTTGAACAAATTTCAACAATACATTTGACCCTCTAGATTAACCCACTAACCTTTGCCATAACTTTTGAACAGTTTACGCTAGGGCTGTCAAATTTCAAAAGTATATTACTTGTGAGAAAAACTTTCTTGGGGTACCAACAATTTTACTTTCGAGATTGACCTTGAATTTTACTGGCATGAAGTATATGGAGATAACGAACAGTATTCAAGCTCAAAAATCCCTAAAACAATACAAAATAGGAGCAGAACAAACACGGACCTCCAAAACATCACAGGTGAGATCAGGTGCCATGGAGAAGTTTGCATCCCTGCCAACCGGTCACACCCGCCGTGTGCATTAAGGAAAATTTAACCTTTTGCCATGAGCTGTCGGGGCTTAAGCGTTTTACAAACACAGTTTTTTTCCTCATTCGTCTGTCCGTCCGTCAGTCTGTCCGTGTCACAAAAAACATTAACTTTGGTCATATCTCTTGAATGAGAAGAACTAGGTATTTTATATATTATATTTATATTACCTCGTGACGAGACCTTACTAAATGCACTATTATTTTTTACCCCATGACCTTGACCTTGGCGTTTGACTTACTTTTTTAAAAATATAAAAATTACTTTGAATTGTCCAAAACTTTTAAATGAGAAGAGATGGGGCTTTCATACAAAACATGTAGATTATCTGTGACAAGACCTTTCTAGTTTCACGATGATTTTTGACTTCGTGAACTTGACCTTGGAGTTTGACCTTCATTTAGAAATTTAACCTTGGTCATAACTTTTGGATGTCATTGAGAAGATTTCGGGCTTTCACCTTTCACATATATATTACCTGTGATAAGACCTTTCTAAATACACTATGGTTTTTGACCCCGCTACCTTGACCTTTACCTATGGCCTACTTTTCAATTTTTTTTCCACATAAATTTTGATATACAAGAGATAGGGCTTTCATATGTGACACGTGTATTACCTATGACTATATTTTTTCGATCATGCTTTGATTTTTGACCCCCTGACCTCCATGTTTGACCTACTTAAAAAAAATCAACTTTGTGGATAACTTTTGAACTGATGACATATGACAGTATTATATAATGAATTCTTTTTAACTCGCGGACATGTAGCAGGCAACGGTTTGCATGACTATAGTGAGGGAAATATCACCTGGATCTATGAATTAATAGGGTGAAGAAAAGATGTTCATATGCTGCAATTTATTCCAGTTTACTACCAACTGTATCCCCCCGACTTTGCGAAAGTGATGGGGTATTAAATCTCATTCGCCAATCTTTTTGCCTGATTATCACAAAAACATAAAACTTTGATACAACTTTTGAGAGAGAGAGAGAGAGCAAATATTACTTATGAAAAGTCCTGCATCACCTGTGATCAGATTGTACTATGGATGTTTACCTCATGACCTTGAAGTATACAGTAAAACTTGGTTATAGCGAAGTCATGGGGACCTGTGAATTTAATTCGCTATATCCGTATATCGAATTCGTATAACTATTATAGCGAATTTGTAATATGCATGTTTTCCTTCAGGTATTACTACCAAATATTTTAGGATAGCAAATATTACAAAACATATCTTCAATAACTAAGGTTCTAGTATGAATTGAATTTTATATACAAATGCTAAACGAAAATAGAATCAGTTTAATTCATCATATTTTTTATAATCTTTGAAAGTTCGTTATAAAAGATGTAAATTTCATTATATCTAACATCAACGGGACTCAAAATCAGTTCGCTATATCCGTAAATTCGTTATATCAGAGTTCATTATAACCGTAAAAATTTAAAAAGATTTGTTAAGAATTTTGCCGGGGACCCAGAAAAACTTCTCTATATCCGTGAATTCGCTATTTCCGTGTTCGTACTAAACGAGTTTTACTGTATATACTCTTCATTTTAAAACTTCAACATTAGTCATAACTTTTGAATGAGAGAAGATAACTTTGTCTATCGTAATTAACATGACTGTACATTAAGTTTGACACTACTTTTCAGAAAGAAGAAGGTATGGTTTCAATACAAATTTTGCCCTGTGATTTTCAAAATGAAAAATAAAACTGGTGTAAAAGTTGAAAACTCATGCTTTTTAAATAATTGAAATTCAATGCAGAAAAATCATACAAGTCATTTTTCTCACATGTGTTTTTAAATGCTAATTATGACGTCATAAACAGGTGCATTTTCCCATATTTTCTGAAAAAGTTGCAGAAGACACCAATTTTCAATGGAATTTTCTTTCAGATAACATTGTCCACAGGCATCGCCCACAAAGACCTTGAGATATGTGATTTGTTATTGAATTTTGCACAAAATATCAAAAAATTAACATGGGCGACAGCTGTGGACACTGTTTTCTAAAGGAAAATCACCCTCGAAATGTGCCATTTTGAGGCTTTTTCTGTTGAAAATAGAGAAATGCTTCACATTAATGACGTCATATTTGCAGAATGGTAAACCTTCATGCCATATTCTTTCCTGATTTATCAGTCATTTATTTAACCAATATTTAAGCCAGTTTCAAAACTTTTTGATGTCATTACATTTTTAGGGCGCAATAAAGCTAAAACCATACCTTCTTCTTTATTATCATATTTGACCTCATAGCATTGACCTTGACCTCATATACCTTTCCGAATATAATACTTTGAATCCCATGACGTTGACATCCAATGACCTTGAACTTTGAAGTACTAGTAGTTTTAAAAAGTTACTCTTGGTCCTAACTTTCATTTATGCAAAAAAAAATTGAAATTATTTTGAATACTAGTAATGGGCAGATAAGACTGAACATAAAGACAATACACTTTTAGTGTACCATAAATAATTAATTGCATCTCATGGGACCAAAATTATCTTAATTTTAAAAAGTTTGCTGTTTCTGTATTTTTACTGCCAATCGTTTATTTTTCAGAAAATTGTTAAAGGTTCCTTATGACATCATACATCAAAATGCTCAAACAAATACATGATCTATTTCTCTGTAAGGGTACATCGTCAGAGTTTACAGATCATATGACGTTTACGCAGATGCAACATGGCAGGTAGAATGCGTATAAGTAAAACATTTTTATTTTTTTTCAAAAAAGCGAAATAGATTGCAACAAGAGTGGACACAAACTTTCAGTATGTAATGAATCTTGAGAAGAAAAAACTCTGCCCAAGGCTCACAATACAATTTTCTCCGAAAATCACTTTACGATCTTTTATAATTAAATGCTGTAATATAAGAATTCTGAATTAAATCGTTTATATAAATAGAAACATGATAATTAGTATTTTTCAGACATTAAGAACAGTTAATTAGACATATTCTTATTTACACTCGTTTAAAACGTATAATTTATTTTCCAGTTCAAGTCAAATTGTTATTGCTACCTGTCACCAATTTAAATGAAATATTTAAAGGACCAATGTCAAAATCAAAATAAGTCCAGTTTGTCTTCACGAATACAAACTATTTATCTTCCTAATTAGATTAATATCCCTAAATTGATGCAATGCGGTTACTTAAAATTTATTTTTAAGCATGTAAACAGTCAAGCCAAGCAGGGACCTATATACTGTATATAGGTCCCTGAGCCAAGATATAGCTAAAATAAAAGCCATGTTGCACTCAAATCAAACAAAATGCAAAGTAGTACATGTACTTAATGCCTTGTTCACACGGAGAGTTTAATTCGAATTAAACGTAAAGTTACTGCGAATTAGCTTCGCTTAGCGTTCACACGGAGAATTGAATGCGAATTAGTTTAATTCGAATTAATTTACTGCGCATTAAATTACTTCGCATTAGTTCGTGTAAACGCTAAGCGAAGCTAATTCGAATTAAATTTTGACGCGTTAGGCCAGAATTAAGTCACAGGGCACGTGTTCCTGGTTATATATAGGTATTTGTGCTATATTTGGCTCAAAAATTGAGGGAAAGTATGTTAATCACTAAAATCAATGAATACCTGTAGCCACTACATGATGTATCAAAGGATGGCTCTGCATACATGACGTGATTTACAAATGACGTCATAATAGACTTACTGACGTCTGACTGTAGAAGAAAAAATTTGATTCGCATTAGTTTACTTCGCATTAATTTACTGCGAATTAAACTCGTCGTGTGAACAGGGCATAAGAAAATGACAAGATAACTTTTACTGTCGCAAGAATAGAAAAATGCTAATTAAAGTTGTCATAGCATTGAACCCCTTTGCCAAACTGATTTTTGTACTCCAACGGTTTCAATCCTGTAGTGGAAACAAGTTTACTTTAATGGACTGCCTTTATAAACATTTTTACTCTTGAGCATAAAGGGAATATACTTTATGAAATGTGACAATGAACAGTGACTGTTCAACAGTCCACTGAATTTTCTTATTATGCCCCCTTCGAAGAAGGGAGGGGCATATTGCTTTGCTGCTCTCGGTCGGTCGGTCTGTCTGTCGGTCCACCATCAGTTTCTGTTCATTTTCTTCGCTGAGATGAGATTTATGGTAAGAATATCTAATTCAAGTTCTGTTTTGGGTACGATCGAGCCATTTTGGACAGAGTTATGCCCCTTGGACTTTGAAAAATTCCAATTGTTTGTAGTTTCCGTTCATATTTTTTTTTTACAGAGGTTGAGCAAATTGAAATGAAATTTGGTATACAGATTTATCATAAGAATATCTAAGTCAAGTTATGATTTGGGTACGATCGAGCCATTTTGGACAGAAATAATATGAAGTGTACAATTCTGAATGTGAAACTCACGATCCCCCAGTTCGGTTCTCCATCATTGCATAATCAAGCAACAGCTCAGTGAGAAACTGCGACAACATTAAAGTCATTAGGTGATAATTCCTTCAGTGGACTTCTTCAAACTGTTGAACATACACTTGTATGTAGTAACAATCCACTCAGAAATTATTAAGGTATTTCTTCTTTCCATGGGGTATGGAAAATATAATATTATATAAAGCCAAAAAATGCACATACTTCACTGAAAAGATTTATTCATGATCATAACATTATCAGAACTCTAATCCAAGATCTCGATTTCTTCATAATCTTAGAATCTTTAATATAAACATGTTTAACAAGACATTTCTCTTTCACCGTGTATCATATTTGAAATTGGCATTGTATTCTGCAAGCTTGCCTCAACTCACCGCACCTCCATTATTGATAACAAAACAAAACCAAAACAAAACCATGAAGAAAGTCAATCTTTATTTTTCTATTTAACTAAAATGGTCATTAGTTCTACACGTATAACATCATGTACACAAGTTGTGATTTTGTGAAAACACATTTCATTTTGAATGATAAAATTATTTTGGGGGTGGGGGAGGAGGAGGGGCAATATTTGATGCTCCCGGTGGCATACCAGGGGGAGGAACAGGAGGGGGCACTGGGGGAGGGGGTGGAGCTGGCATGTTGGGAGGGGGGCCAGGAGGGGGAACACCCCCAGGAGGCATTGGGGGAGGGGGCATACCCTGGCTCATGGGTGGTACTGTTGGCCGGGGTGGCATAGGAGGCCCTCCTGCTGTTTGCCCAACTGGGGGTGGGGGAGGCATTCTTGGGGGAGGGGGCATACGTGGAGGAGGAGGAAGCTGTGGGGGTGCTGAATTGTTGCTGGAGGGAACTGGTACGTCCTTCTTTCCCTCTGTGGGTGGAGGAGGGAGTGGCATGGGGGTCTTGGATTCTATCTTGAATGCAAACTGTAGGAAAAACTGAAAAAAGAAAAACATCACATTGTAAACGTTTCGTGGATTTTTACAACATATATTACTTACAATCATCACATTCTGTGCAAAAATAAACTTTACTGATTAAAGAACTATGCATGCTAACTCTCGTTTTCTACCTATATTTTTTACTCAGTAAATCTCAAATATCAATTCAGTATTGAAAAGTTAAAATATATAAATGGTACCGTCCTAAACTATTAAAAAACAGGGGGGGGGGTGTTGATTTGAACAAAACTAACACTATAACTGAGGATATTTTAATATTTCTTTGACTATTAATGGTTCTACAAGATTTTCAAATATTATATTCCTAAAAGTTTTATCTTCAAACCCCCACCTCCCCAGGTATTGATTCAGATTGATTTGATCAACCTTGAATCTACACTATCTGGGGATGCTTCTGCATTAATATGCCTAATTATGGCTTTGCTGTTCTCAAGAAAAGGGTTTTTGATGATTTTTCCAATGTATTTCAGTGTAAAACTTTGACCTATTGTTGTCCCACCCTACCTAAAGAGATCAAGATTTTAACAAACACTACCTAAGAATGTTTCCAAATAAATATGACCAATCATAGCTCCATGGTTCTTAAAAAGAATATTTTTTCCTATATATTCTAGTTTAAAACCTTGATCATCCATTCTGACCCCACCCTACCCCTGGGGCATGTTTTAAAAAAAAATAAATTTACACTACATTCCATTGGTTCCATATAAATATGACCAACAATCACAGCTTTGCTGTTCTTGAGAAGAAGATTTTTAAGATTACTCCTAGGTAAAAATGATTGTCCATTGTGGTGTAACCCAACCTCTGAGGTCACGTTTTCAATAAACTTGAATCTATCCTACCAGAAAATCTTTCCATATAAAATATATAAATATGACCAACCATGGCTTTGTTGTTCTTGAGAAGAAGATTTCCCCTATATATTCCTTTGCAAAACACATATTTAATTCAATGTACTTTAACAAAAGTGGATGAACAAATAATTTAAGATTTTAATTCTATTTTAACAATCTCCATTGGTTTATTAGACTTGGGACAGAAAATTCTTTATGTAATTGAAATCCTTTGTTAGTTGTCTGATATTTATTTGTACTTTAGAGAAATCTACATTTCCAGTCTTCATCACCATACTACTCAATTAATTCTCAATACAAACAATTAGATAGTCTAGCAGCTTTAAATAAGTTGCATGAATCATGTTATACTGCACTTCATATCTTGATTTCTACTTGATATCTAATACTTTAAGCAATTTCATCTTTAATGGACGAAGATAATCAAGGCATGTCTCGATTTTATTTATCTCAAGTCTAACCGACCCTTAAAACTATGAAAATACTTATATTTATTAAACTGACCTTTAGGACAATTACATTACATGTATCTATGGTGATTGATTATCAAATGTGACTAGGTAAGGGAAATAACTTCTCTCAGAATTTCAAACATCTATAAATATAAAATGTCTAATTTGGATATCTGTACACCATGCGCTTTCCAATGTGATGAAAAGGCTGTTTATTGTTCCACAGAACAGTGCATCAAATACAGGTACTTCGTAATAGTCAGAAATTATACACAACATCAATTTGTTTCCCCTAATTTGTTTAAATTTTAGTTTGATTATCTTTAAGAACCTACAATATCCTATAAAATCTCTACAACAGAAATTCAGTAAATAGAATAAGTTTCCTTGCTCACTTCAATTTTGTTTATGTGCACATGCACTCGTTTTTGTTTTATGAAGACATGTTTACCTAAATTGGGGTTATAAACAAAAACTACTGGTACTTTAATGAATCATACATCCATTGAGCACAAAAAATTCATTCCCTTAACTAGATTTTCCCTTTTACCATGGAAAAAATAACTTTTTCATATTATTTAACCTGCATCATGTCAAAAAGAAGCTTTGGTGGTGTAAAATGTTGATGACAAATCAATTCAGATTGATTAATGAATATAGATAAACAATCACATTAACTGAAAAATTTCACACTCATACGATCCCTACCTGCTTTGTTTCCCTGTTCCAGTGTGACCATAGCTTTTTGGGATCTTTGTCAACTTCCCTGCTAGGGACCTACATGTTACAAGAAAGATAACTCTTCAGTACACAGATATCAAGTTAGTCACATCAGAGTTGCTAAGCTGCATGGGCCGATACGATCAGTACCGGTATGCAATTTTTTCATCTGGTTCTATCAATTCTACCTTGGTAAAATCCACACACTATCTAAATATTTATCTTTAATTCCAATTCTTCATGAAGAAAATAAAATTACATGAGAAAAGAGTTAGGGTGTTGTCCATGAACTATAAGCATTTATCATTTCTGCTTGACTTGATTACATACTTTGAATGCTATGGTTTCGTAAGGTTCCGCAGCAAACAACAGATACTGCCACTTCCTGTCCGGTGGTTCCACCTTCTGTTCATAAGCTGCCATAAATCTGTGGCGCGGAGCAATTCCCTCCACAATCTCAGGGTAATCAATCTGGATAATAGAAAAAGAAGTTTATACAAAGAAATATAACTCTTACTTCCTTTCTCTTACTTTAGACAGAAAATGTTTGAAAACCTATGATCCCCTTACCAATAATTATACACATAAAAAGACAATTTATTTATTGTCTCTTTCAGGATTGTTCACTAATATTTGAACTATTATAATCACATAGAGGACTGACCTGAAACAGCAAGCTCTGTTGGCCATTGTCTGGGTCCCTCTGCTTAGTCACTGGAAAGTAAGACAAACTAAAACATGAGACCTCCTCTTACCATATATGTGACAAGTTTCAGACATAAACACAGCACAGAATTTTGAAAATTCTCACATTAAGGAAAATATATTGTACACCAGAACAAATGGCTCCATCCCAGGGGATGACAAATCCAACTGCCCGACGCCTGGGGCTAATGAACTTTAGGGGTGGGCAAGTGAAATTTTATCAACTACTTGCCCGTGGGCAAGTGACGTATCAAAAATAAAATCAAAGTAAGCCATAGATTTAAAGCTGAGCATAGAGGTTTGCATGATCTACTCAGTATTTATCTTCCTCTTTTCTTGAAATATTTATAAATACAGTATTAGTTTATGGTAGGGCAAGCAAACATTCAGGTAGGGCAAGTGAATTTTGACCAGTACTTGCCCTTGGACAAGTGCCTTAAAAATCCATTTTTCAGCCCCTGCATCTTCATATTTTTTTCCTCAAAATTTGATTAAAGCTACATTTTATACTTGATTTTCATTTCTAGCATACTGACCTCACAGAAACATATTTAAAACCAAAATAAATCAATCGACAAACACAGACCTTTATATCCTGGCCTTCCTATTTTTACGAATTTCTTGATGTCCACCCTGGCTTTCTCAGGAGCTGGCTGAGCTGGGGCCTCTTTAGCTTCCTTGGCAGCTCGACGAGCCCTGACAACAGAGGTTTACAAGTATTGAGATTTTAGAAATTATCTTACAGAACTTTTTCTTTTGCATTTGCTTTCATTTGTAATTAAGCCACGTTAACAATTATGAAGTGGTTTTCATTCAACTCAATTTTTTCGCTAGTTAGTTTTGCTTTCAAGATATAGAAATGTGTTCAAGAATTTTTTTTCTTTATTTTTGGGTGCTCAAAAATTTGTAAAGCCTTGTCTACAATATATTCTCAGAGTTAGAATGAAATTACTTAATATTAATTTATCTTTTGGGCAACATGTTAATCTTGGATGTGAACTTACAAGTTTGCCTGATGCTTCTTTCCTTGTGTGTGTGCCAAGTAGCTTCCCTGTAAAAGTCGAACAGTCTGAATTATGTAATTTCAATTCAAATTATCACCTTTAACATTGTTTAAATTTTCTGAGTTCAGTCATGATCATAAATTTGAACTCAATCATAAAATTATTTTTAAATGCACATATTGCCTTGTCAAGACTTACCTCATTGTTGTGAAGAGTAAGACATAGTTTACATTCATATGACCCCAAATGATTTTTCATGAAATATGGATCCTGAAAAGACAAGAAAAGATAGGCTTAGATTTCTTTTTGGTCCCTGCTTAGGAGCATCTATTAGAACCATGAAAAAGTTCACAACCTGAAAGCGGTTTTTATCCCCATCAACAATTAAGCATCCGTAATTTCTCATAATAGGAAACATACAGATCACAGGTAAGTCACAAACTTGTCAAACGCTTTATCTTTTTAAGACACTTTTTTCAGAAAAGACATAGCTTAAGCTTGTTGAGCTACCATTTATATTTTTTATACATTAGTATCAGATACACTTTGTGTAAGAAAATCTTGGATAGGCAGGGTTGTACCGGTACTCTGCTTTTTCAAAGAGAAAAGTATGTATCTCAATTCCGATAAAATTCCATCAAAATTGAGTAATTTTCTGTCTTCTTGTGGCTTCAGTGTATGATATGAAGCAAAACAATGCTGGTTTAAAAACAAACATCACATACAAGTTTTTTTTTATCTGCAACCTTTAACAGTGTTAACTTCCTTTTTTTGTAATTCTTATATTAGACTGTTACCATATACATGTACTCTGTTATCACATTTTTCAGCTATAGATTAATGAATCAATTTCAAAAGTAACCAAACTATGATCCCAGAATATTAAATTTTTATAATGAATAGTTTCTGTTTGAAAAATTGTACAGTATTGATGTCACCATTTGCCTTTTTACATTAATCAGCTTGAAATATAAAGTTTCAAGAGATCGATGAATTATATCATAAACAAATTTCAAAATTAGTCAAACTATCAATATTATCTCATAATTTAATATTTTAAGTAGATAAGCTCTCTGTTGAAAATTTGTACAATATTGATGAAAGTAGTTGCAAAACAATGTTCACTTGCAAAAGGTGTACAACATATATTTCTTACACTGTTTAAATATTGTATGACTGATCAAAGTTTTCAGTAAGCACAAGTACCTGTTGTAGACTTACCTTATTGAGGTCGATGGTTTCCAGGGCCAGCTGTCTCAGCCTCTCCCTCCTGTCCCTGTTAGACTCCGAGGCTGAGGCCACGCCCCCTACACCTGTCTTACCCCCAGCCCTGTGCTGGAAGTCCATCTTTGTTTACTTCTGTTTATGCAACTGGATGAAGAACTTTACCAAACACAATACATCTACAAAAAATATAATAAAACAGTTAAACTTGGTAATTTTTTTGTTGTACTTGTAAATCATGCAAATTGTTAGAAAGGTCATATCAATCCTTTGTCTCCTGCTATGAAATAATGAGTTTATTCCTTTATCTTGATGTGCCTCTGCCTTCAACTAAAAGATATTACCTGAAACCTCAAAAGTAAATTCTTATCTCATGTTCAATTCCTACACAAATTATCTACTGAATAGGTATTCAAAAAGAAATGAATTAATTTAAGAAAATTTAGGGAGAAAAAAGTTTTTCTTAAAGGCGGATCCAGGGCCGGCACACCGGACATATAAAATTTATATGTCCATTATCTTAAAATCAAGGAAAAAACATCTCATATTTGTAAAAATTTGTCAGCTTCCGGGGGATTCACTACCGGACCTCCACCAGGGCCTTGCCCTAGACCCACTGGGGCTTCAGTGCAGCCCTCCAACCCCCTGCCATCTACCGCGCCCTCCCGTTACGAAATTCCTGGATCCGCCACTGTTTATTCCTTCAATATTATTAAAAGGTGATGCATACAAAAACTGGTTGAACATTTTCTGTGAAGTATAAGAAATTGAGCTAGTTATCTCAACAGTGGAGGCTAAGACCCTGGACGGCTTTAAGAGTTAAGACCCAGCTGTCCAGTGCCAGCCACTACACATCACATCTCTGCGCTTTTAATCTTTTAATTTTATGAGCACTGTATATAGACACTCACACCCTCACGTAGTGTGTGAGAAAACTTTAGTGGTTTTGCACTGTATGGGAAGAAGAAATATATAGAAAAGCTGTATGGTTTATTTATTACCTTTTTATAGTTTACTGACACAACTGAAAAACAAAACATTTATAGACAATGTAACATTACATTGTCTCTGCACGCATGGTGTGCTGCCATTTAACAGGCAGGAAGTAGACCCATGTGTCTCAGTAATAAAGAAAAGAAAGCTGTAAGGCGGCCGTTTCCTAAAATGATCTATGTAAAAGGTATTGATTAATAGTAAAATACAAGTCTGAAGTTGGCTAGGAGAGAGCGGGGGGCTGGCAAAGAGTTAGGTTCCTTATATAATATACTAGTCAGGGCTCTCGATTCTCTAAAATTGGGGCCGTTCAACGGCCCCGTTCCCAATGCAAAAAAGGTACCTTTTTTCCCAAAAGAAAGGTGTAAATTTCCCAATTTCCATCCAGAGTAAAATCTTAATTAAAAAATAAAAGTCCATCAAACCTAATCGCAAAAAAAAAACCCAAACAAAACACATTTGCAAATGAAAGTGAAACTGTACTACTATTTTATTAGTTCGCGCCAAATGCATTCGTAAACTGGTTCGGGGAACCAGGTTATTGTTTTTACAAAAATGTATACAACTATGAGTGCAGAGTATCTTGTAATGTAGTTTCGACAAAAACCAGCATTTTGGTTTCAAAAATAGACATTTCATTTAAACATTAGTAAGCTGCACTTAGAAACATACCCGCGCTTCGGCATGTTCAGTCTCGCGCTGTATTGGTAAGCAAAGTTGCCCATGTGATCGAGGAAATTCAGGACTATGTGACTAGCGACTGTCACGCAGTAAGACATATAACCGCAATATCAACACTCAAAGATAGTAATGACAAAGCTAATGTACTTTCATAAATAGCCTACGTACCCATGTTTGTTCTGTTTAACTGTTTATTCAAACGAGAGTTTGCATTGATGATAAAATGCTAGAAAGGCAAAATTTGAGGATTTTTTAAAAATGAATTTGTGTTATCCAACTTTTCCCAAAATGACGATAATTTTCCCAATTTGAATGGCCCTGGCCCCAGTCCCAAAAAGTGGTGTGAGAGCCCTGCTAGTATAGGAATATGTATATAATATACTAGTAGAGGAATACGAAGCAAGTACCTGTGGACTGCACAGGCGCTTTTTTCATTCAGTAAGTTTAGTTTTCTACTATATAATAACACTAGCTTATTGTATGAAACAAGCGCCTGTGGTGGACTGCCACAAAACTATTAACTAATCAAATTACAGTATAAAGACCTAGAAAGTAAAGTTGGAGGATAATGCTCTATCTAGCAGGCTCATGTCTTATTTATACTTCAAGATGACCAGATTATTAACCACACATACATTAATAAAACATTATTAACACACATATGACACTGTGAATGTAATTTTTACCATGTTTACAGTAAAGAAATAAAAAAGTGGATCCGAGAACAGAGAAAATTCGAATTTGCATTTTCTTTCATATTGTGATATTGCGATTTGTTTTTAAATTGGTATCGTATCTACTTACAATCTATTTGCAGGATTCTGTAATAAAATTATAGGGAAAAATTATTTTACTGCAATTTTACTTACAAGAGAAGGAAACGTGTGAACAACGAATGAAGCCACTTTCGGAACTCTCTGCTGTTGTTGATAATGCAAGAGTAATAATGTAAACTAATTTTAGAACCCATTTCCGAAATATTACAATCAATTGTATGCTCGACTTGTTTTATGTTCCACATAAGTTTAGAGGTCAAAGATTTTTTGTTGGAAGACACTATCAACTATCAATGTTCCCTGACAAGCAAAAAAAAAAAATTATTATTTCTAATATATTTCAATGTAAAAATTTGATTCCCACTAGTGTGGCCCTGCCGTACCCCTGAGGTCAATGATTTGAAAAATGTAGAATCTTCACTACCCCCAGGATATACTTCCACATTAGTTTCAGCTTTCCTGACCTAGTGATTCTCGAGAAGAAAATTTTTGAAGATTTTTCCTATATATATTTCACTATAAAAATTAACTTGCATTCCCTACATTGTGGCCTCGCTCTACCCCTGAGGCTCATGATTTGAACAATTTAGAATGCTTCAATATAAGTATCAGTTTTTCTAGTTCAGTGGTTCTTGAGTATAATTTTTTTTATTGACCCCACACTATTTTCGAATTTTTTTGATTATCTCCCCTTGAAGGGGGACTTGGCCGCACTTCATTTAAAAACGATGTGAACTCCCCTTTACTCAAGAATGCTTTGTACTAGGTTTGGTTAAAATTGGCCGAGCAATTCTTGAGAAGAAGTTGAAAATGTGAAAAGTTTACAGACGGACGGACAGAAAGACGGACGGACGGACGGACTTTGTGTGATCAGAAAAGCTCACTTGAGTTTTCAGCTCAGGCGAGCTATACATGTAATCTGCACGTGACCTTGTCAGCAAATAAAATCTATCGTAAGTCAAAAGGTTTTTTTTTTGTTCATAAAAATTGCTGGGGTATTATATTTTTTCAGTTTGGCCGTTTTAGCACACGGCGGGTGTGACCTGTCGACAGGGGATTCTTACTACTCCATGGCACCTGATCGCATCAACGTTTTAGATATCCATTTTGCTCTGCTCACAAACTGTATTTTTTTCAATGGACTTTTGAGCTTGACTACTGTTTGTTATCTTCAAATTTCATCTTGGAACAGAGCTTAAAAAATATCTAAAGCAGTGGAGAGTGGTTCTAAATTAACATCGATTTTGTTTTTTTCTTTCTGTCATTGTCACAAAAATCTAACATGTTGTTCTTCAATGACGCAAATCACACGTCTATTTTCAGAAAAATTTTTTCAGTTTAATTTTTTGAGCAATTTATATTATTTTTTGCTCATTGAAATTTATAGTGCATGCACTAAAATTTCGAATTGATTGGAATAAACAAATCACTTTTGTATTATTTCTATAATAGTTATAGTGCTAAATAAAAACATTTTTGTATTAATTGGAATAAAACAGAACTTGTTGGATTTATTGAAACGGGGTCCAAATTTGAAGCTAGATTTTTCCCCAAGTGAATTTCATATCATTTTTCCAATGACGTGGTTTAATACATTGATACGTATCATTTGTATTTTTCTATTACGCAATCACGTACATGTATATGTTATAAAATAAATTGTCGAATAACGAATGAAATTGATTAAGAAATCAACTTTTATTTTTAGAACTGTTTCATGACAATATCATTATGCATATAAAATCTAAGGGAATTTTTTTATTATGGCATCGTGTTTAAATTTCATACCTGTACTTCAGAATTTTTAAATTACCTACTGAAGCTTTTTAAAATGATGTCTTATCCCCTTGCAAAGAAATTTGCAATATTACGAGATTTTCTACCAAAACTAGACAAGAGGGGAGGGATCGAGGCATGATTTGAAGAGATAAGAAGCTTTGTTATAACCTTTAAAAAATTGTTTCTATACAAATCTATACGAAGAAAAGTCTAACATTTCTAATCTTTTTACTGAGCGGTCATAAAAAAATCGATGTTTGACAACTGAGTGAGATGTTGGGCCTGTCAATAAGATGTTGGACCGCTTACGTCACACAGTGGGCGGTGCCTAATTTCATTTGCATTCGTTGGTGTTCAATAGTGACGGACTTCCTGTTACATCACGAAAGACAGTACATATGTACAAGATACAATCATGTATGTAAAAAAAAAATATAAAAATGAAAGGAATAACAAAACATTTATTGACTCTGTTCTCGGGCAAAATTCGTTTTGTTGACCCTCAATCTTAAATGTCTGCCTTCGGCCTAACGGTAGGTCCGTAGGAAGCAATTTCAGTTTGGGCCACAATGGCTATCAGACGTTTTTATTGAGGGGGCTCAAGCATATAGTAGCCATGTTTTTATAGACTTAGTATTATATAGTACTACAAATGTATATATATGTCGGCAAAATTATTGGGGGACACAGCCCCCCGGTCCCCCCCCTTGTTCATACGGCCATGAGTTTCTCAGGCAGTTCTCTCAGTTTGGTTCTTGGGTCCGACAAGTCGCACTCTAACTCAGTCAATAAATGTATAATATATCATGGGAATTCCTCCAATGTATATTTATAACGAAACAGTTTTCAAGCTCAAAAGTCCATTAAACAATACAAAATTGGAGCCGAGCAAACATGAACCTCCCAAACACCAGAGGTGGGATCAGGTGCCGTGGAGGAATGAGCATTCCCCTACCGAACGGTCACACTAGCCGTGTGTCCTCATCATGATCTGGAAATAACGAAAACATCCGCCGAAAATTCAGTGTGTATATAATGGCCTAGCAATTAGTATGAAAAATGTCAGTCAGCATGTGATTAATTGTATTTGCTGACAAGATCATTGTATCGACCACAGAACTTAGGAAATGGTGACTTTAAACGAGACTGATGATATTCTTGTTTCAGCAACATGTTTATCAATAATTTACCTCATTTTAGAAATTGTTCATACGTAGAGTATGCTTCTGTGTATCAAATCAACTGAGAGATACAAACCCCGTATGCAGGTGATGAAGGTATATTGCTGCATGGTAAGTAATGGAATTGACAACTGAAAAGTTAAGGCCATATCTCGTTTATCATAAAGCTTGGTTATTAGATAACCATTAACGTCTTTTTCGAGTAATACTCCAGTATATCTAGTTATGAAACAGATGTGTCCGAATCTGACATCTTTTATTTCAAGTATATATCGTATCGACATAAGAATGGAAATAAACCACTGTTAATTGACAATACGTCGTCGATATACTAGTATCTAATTGTCGAGTTGTAGGCAACAGCAAGTGTTTTCTTTTCACGTAAAAGATTTTGGACAAATTCTCCTTAATATGAATACAAAAGCAGGTCTGCTAATAACGGAGCGCAATTGGTACTAGCTGCAGATCTGTAGCGTTATGGTTTTATATATTTGTCTTTATGGTCAAAGACAAATATAACCATAACGCTACAGATCTGCAGCTAAATTGGTACCCATAGGAATTTCAATAGATTGTTGGAAGACTTGGTCTCCAAATTAAAATACCACATAGATATTGTCAATCAGAAACTCAAGTATCTTTTTTCTTTGAATAATCAGTATGCTTTTAACAAAACAATTTTGCAAATGACCAGTGACAAGGTAAATAAATTTTACAAGTTTCATTTTTATTGAAAAAGCAGCTGCCAATGATTTCAAAAAGCCTGAACTTTAATTTATCGTGGAGGATGGTTGTATATCGTGGAACCAACCATAGTTCATATACTAAAGAATCGGAATCTGCAATATGCCAGAAAGCAGACATTTTAATTTTTTAAACCAGGTAGGTCTTAAGCACAGCAGAAATGGCAAAGGGGCACTATTTTTATATATTATACTTTCATGTAAATTACTTGAATCTGATTGCACTACTAAATAATGGCCACGCCCTCCTGCGTAGCAACAGTCAACATAGGGGTGGTATTCCAAAAAATAGCGACTGCGCGGAATTTATGCGCGCACGGTTCACTGTAATATGTTTTATAAAACATTCAGTATAATATAATAAATATAGCATGTAGTTGAGTGTAACATTGAAAATTTTCAGAAATGTCAACCTCGGCTGCGCCTCGGTTGACAATGGTTTTCTTGGCAATGTTACACTCAACTACATGCAATATTTATATAATCTAACCGTTGCAAAAGGCTAGGATGAAGTCAAAATGTTATTTTTTTTGAAGATTTGATAATAAATTCCTCGTTGCAGTTATCAATTTTTTTTTGCAACGGATAAATATTGTAGATGTTTACCAATGTGAGAAACAATTATTGATAAAGACCCAGATGTGATAATTTGTTGACAGTTAAATGTGATTCCTACTTGCAGAAAATATATAAAAATAATTTGATGAGGTATAAACCCTTAAAGTATCGTCTAGCTTTTGTATTTGTACCAATTGTTTTCCTGAAGATGACATAGCAATGCCGATATTAAAATCGATCTAATCCTGCTGAATGTTTAATCAGCATGACGAGGGGTTTATCGTTTATTATATAGGTTCTAATTGCCTATCTTTTAAATGCCTCTTTCCAAGAACTTGACTTGGACGACGCATGCTCCATTTTCATCTCAGCTGCGGAAACTGGACTTCAGTCTGCCAATAAATCTTAAATCACATGTCGCCGGGCTAGTGCTCATTGATACATTGATTTTGGTTGAAAGGGAACAATATATCATAGCCATCGTGAAAAAAAACATACAGATTGTGGACACGTCACAGCCTCATTGGACCCTAGAAAACGTGAAAGCCCAAAAGTATTGACTGGTCATGTTTCGCTGAGATCTACCTCTGTTATAACTTAGAAGGTGCAACAATTGGAAAACTTTATCTTTAACACTTGGAGATTTTGGACAGTGACTATGGCCCATGTCAGAATATCGGCAGCTAACAGCATTAAACAGAAGTACAATCTGCGCCGCGCCTCGGCGCCCGTGCAGACTCACCACATGGTCGTAAAGGTAAGCAATTTTATCTATCACTTTTATTTACTCCAAGGTACCTATAGTGTATCCCACCCTAGAACTCACACCGGCTCGATTCGGGGGGGGGGGGGGGGGGGGGGTGTTGTCCGGAGGAAGCCATAACCTAGGCCTCTTCCCAGCCTGTATCTTCAATCAGGACTTATATTTAGGTGGGAGGAAGAACTATAGACCGTCTGGAGTAAGGGCTAATAATGAATTGTTACACAGTCAGTGCACTTTAATATTTTTTATTTCGATTTTTTCCTCTAATATTTCAAATGGTATAGTTTATCATACTTAATATCATACTTAAAACATGATTGTTTATTGCACAATACGCATAAAATGTTGTTTCGAATTACCAGTATAAATGTATTACAAAGAGTATAGCTTTTTAATTAGTTTTTATATACAAATTAAGCAATAAGTATAGCTATAAATCATACATTACATGGTTATTGCACTACGCATGAAAGGTCATTTATAAGCTGTTGCAGCGCTTCACCACGTGACAATTTAAGACTAGAGCTTTTTGCAATAGACCATCAGGATTTCTCTTTTTGACGTGGAAACCGTAAGCACATCACCAACTGGCAAGTCTATGACTGTGAATAGTACTCCATTCAGTATAAATGTATTTAAATATAATTCTATACAATTCCTTTATATATATGCTCTTAAATTTCTTATCTGATCTTAGGGTTTGACATTTATTAAATTCAATACAGTATTTTTATCAAAATGCTTACTGAGTACTTCTAAAAGTTCATAGAATTATCTAACTTCTACTGAACTTCTAACGGAAGAGTACTAGCAGTATTTGTATCTTGAATTTCAACTTAATTGGAATTGTTTTCTGTTTTGTTATCTGTCGTTTTGAAAGTATGTAACACAGAAATTACACAATAAATTCACTAAATTGATATGGAATGTTTTTGTTCGACTGCGAGACAGAGCAACAGTTAGGGATCTGACATTTTGCCTGATGTAATCTGATACATGAATTTATGCGCGCACGGTTCACTGTTATATGTATTTGTATAAAACATTCAGTATAACATAATAAATATTGCATGTAGTTGAGTGTAACATTGAAAATTTTCACCCCTCGAAAACCATTGACAACCTCGGCTGCGCCTCGGTTGACAATGGTTTTCTTGAAGTGAAAATGTTACACTCAACTACATGCAATATTTATTATATTATACTGAATGTTTTATACAAATACATATAACAGTGAACCTTGCGCGCATAAATTCTGCGCAGTCGCTATTTTTTGTAATACCACCCGTCGTCAAGCAATGTTGACTGTTGCTACGCTGGAGGGCGTGGCTTCATTATTCAGCGGGTAATAGTGTTTTTTAGCAAATGTTTCTCGACCAATCAGATTCAACTAATTTACATGAAAGTATAATATTTATATAATATCTAACGGAGCGGGGGTTCGATGGGATGGGGTAGGGGTAGATTGAAGAAATGTTTATAAACAAGGAATTGAAGAAGAAAACAAGACAAGTTAAGGTCTTTCCACCCTCACAATTTTAATGGTTCAAAGTATAAAAACTTTCATTCATTTTTATGTTATATAGTTCAAATTTACCAATTATTGCAAAAAAATGTATAGGTTGTATTATTATTTAAGATGGAAAGATAAACAGAAGTACATGTCAACATAAAAAATCGTACATTTTTTTGTAAACAATAGTAGAAATAAAATACTAAAAACCTGTTCAAATGCATTATTCTGATGCTGAAAGTTCCGAAATACTTGCTACTGATACTTTTGAATTCTGAATACTGCGGTATAAGGGAAACTATTTTACATTAGAAACTAGTACAGTAAAGAAAATGCCTGAATGAAGATACCTGAGAAGGAGTTACTGACCTTGTAAATATTTTTTAAACTTGAATAATTGATAAGATAAAAAAACAACACATTTTTAAAATTATTTTACTTAACAATATTTATCATTACACCCATTGATACACATTCTTCCAACAGATATGGTTCTAGTGGGTATGGATTTAAATTAATAACAGTTTTTTTTTCAAAAACTTATAACATCATAGGAGGATGGAAAAACCTTAACACTTTCAATGTTGTCTTTTTTTCGTCCTGTTCCTGTATTCATCCGCGAACTCTACATTGGATGGAATTGAATGCAGTGATGAGGAAAGAATATCATAGCTCATACGTTCACTTGATGATATAACCCAAAGTATGGTTTGCGCTGAAATGTTTGATCGCTACTTTTTGATTACTCATAGTCATACGGTATAAATCAAACTTATACTTTTAGTATGTTTGTTTATGTTTTAGATAAGAATCATTAATTAAAAACACGTTAGACAAAAAAAAGACACATTTTACTAAAAATATTATTGTATTATCACAGTTCCAGTTTTTTAAGCACATACATGAATGATACATGTAATATTAAATGTAAAATACGTAAAAGCTGTTAACTCCCTAGTATTATACTTTTTTGGAAGTTGCTTTTACAAAAGACAAATGCATTTTTAGAACAGTATAGTTTGGGTAAAATCCTTTTCTCGCCGTTAATGCTTCACTTCCCTCTTTCAAATTAAAAAGAATATGACACATTTAAAAAATGACGCACTAAGACAAGCCTTTATTATCTTGAACTGGATTAACGCTACATCAAAAATACATGTATATCGAGAACAATAACTAAAAGTATGAAATATGACAGGACACGATGTATTCTAGCATTTGAAAATTAAAACAGCATTTACGTAAGTTTGACACAGAAATATAACACTGAGATCAAGTCACATGTTTCAGTTATAGTTTATACAACTCAAACACATGTATAGCATTTTTTATAATAAAAGCATCCGATCCTATAAATACTCAAGGGATGGAAGTTGGGATGTATAGAAAAGTGAGTAAATTTCTTTAGCTGTACAGAGGTTAAACGAACATTACTTTAATTTTTAACATTTTATAATGCAAGGAAACAAAAGATTAAAAAGTCTGATAAGAAAAGTGCATAGAATTATTTATTTTTTTATTGGTACCAGAAAAAATTGTTATGAGAACTAGGTGTTTTACATTTATGTGGCTATTTCTTTTTATCGAACCATTACCTTTATTTCATATTTTAAAAAAAATGACATCAGTAGAGAAGTGTTCATCATTTATTAATAAATTCTGCAAATTTCAAGAACATTGCAATTTCTCAAACCTGTTTTCCAAAATCTGGATTCTCAAAACGAAATTTTATTACAGAAAATGAAAGCACCAAGTGTCTACTTTATTTTGATATATGAAATGGGAAAGAGGGTTATAGTTAATAAATTGATATAAGTACAGGGCCATTTTATGCATAAGATGGCTCTTGCTCTTTACCGATATGATGTTAATGCAATATTTATACATGTACAAATGTTATCTTGAAAGACGTTTTGTATCTTTTTTCAGCGCTTAGCATTGCAAGACACTCCCTTTGTACAACGTTGGTTTCCAGAAAAAGGGAAAAATTGTAAACCTTAAATATATATACATTGTAACTACCTTGTGGACAAAAAAAAACATAAAATTGCGAAACTAGAAATGTAAACTTAAACACGATTCTATGAAAGTCGGTAATCCGAGCACACAATGTGTCGCATTAGCCTGTTAACCATAAGCAAATATTATAGTAAAACCACGAGATAGCACCAAACAAAAATCGTTTTGTTGAATATAGCAACATATTGGTTAATTCATCAAGCTCAATAAAAGACTTCGTTTGTCTTTCTATTATTCATAACAGATAAACTGTTCTTATTGTGAATTTGCAGTGACGAGGCATGGCTTAAACAGTAAGTGAATATTGCATCACGTATCATGGAATCATCAGATCAATATGAGTATTGTATACCTCTGTTTCAATGCTAGAATGAGAGTTCTTTCATTTCAGTATCTTGTGTATACTTCATGTTCCACAATACTCGGATAAAATACAAAGGCGAGTCACTTAATAATTTATGTTTTGCTTAGAAATATTAGTATAGTTCTTTCTTTTTTGTATTAAAGGGACATTGACACAGTATTTTTTTAAACCAGTTTTTATGTTTGCAACATTATATAACATTATTTGGGTTATTGTGAATACATCACGACCGATAACATTGAAATTTGTTTTTAAATTAAAAAAAAACAAACTTAAAAACAGCGTCCATTTTATACTATTTTTAATCGGAAGAGATTGTTGGTTAAGTTTCATATCAATATACTGGAATTTAATTATGTTTTTTCAAAGCAAAATGAATTTAAATGTAGGCGACGGAATACGTTTATTTAAAAGAATCCATGACATACCAATACACATGTATATTTCAATTAAAACAAAATAATTAATGGAATTTGGGTTCCCAATGAAGAAAACAAGATAAGGGCAAAAGACCTGGGAAAAAAAATGAGATAAAGAAATCCACATCAAGTGACCTCATATTTCAATACAAATCTTTTAAAACCTGAATTAAAGTTAGAACCCGAAAAATAATTTTAAAATGTTTGCAGTGTATAATTTGGACCTTGGTCTTTAACCTTGGTCTTTAAGTCACTGGTAGTTATGATGTAAAAATTTCATTGCAAATGCTCAGCGAAATTTAGTTATCGGGAAACCCATCGTCTCAAGCCACGGTCCGAAGTCCACATATAGCTTTCTCTGACAGAATGGGAGAGGATCGTACATTTTGGTCGTGGTTTGCGACGATGCGGGAAACCATTTTTGCAATGTATGAAATTCGGATCTTGACCTTTTCACCTAAGAATAAACAAGGGATTTTTTTAAGTGACCAGGAGTTATGATAAATAACTTCACTGAAAAACTATAGTTATTATCGGAAGACATTATACTAGGATATGACCATGAACTTTAACATTTGACCTCAAAATTGGTAGGGGGTCATGTCATAAGGTTACAGGGAGTGGCATAATTTTGGTGGTATAGATGTATTCATAATGCATATATAGGCACGATATAAAT